TATTATCTAATTATAAATTATTATGTGACAAAATTAATTATTTTTATTTATTAATATAAAAATAATAGTATGACAAAACCACTAATAATATATTTAAATTATTTTTTTAATTTAATTGAATCATTTTTATTTGTTTTTTATCTTTATTCTTTAGTTTAGTTTAGTTTTTATGTATTTTAAACCTCTAATTTTTAAGTATCAGTCCTATTTTTTTTTATTAAATACATTTAACTTCATTGATTAATATTTTTTAAAATTACTATTGTTTTTATTATATATTTTTTCTATTTTTACTTGACTATTGTAATTTAAAAGACTTATTTAATTAATGTTTGAAAGTTAAACATTTAACTAAAAATTAGAATAATAATTTCCTTTAGAATAAAAAATATAACATTTTTACAATTGAAGTAAAATATTTTTGTTTTTTCATTAATTTTAAAAAATATTTTTAAATGTGTTTATATACAAAATAAAATAACTAAAAAAATAGTTCTATATAATATTAAAAAAATTAAAATATATACTTAGATTTTATACTTATTAGACGTGTTTAGAAATTAATCTTTATATTTTTAAACTTGCATCTTAATCTCAATACAACGATTTTATTAAGTTTTAGTTCACAATAAAAAATAAAATATAATTTTTTAAAATGAATATAATTCATAAATAAGTATTAATTAAAAATTATATACATTAACTATTTAATGTTTAAATAATAAAATTATAAATAGCAAAAAATAATAAAACAAACAAAGATAGGATTAATTATAATTATAAATACAAATTTAAAGTTATATGAAATTTCATCATTAAAAATATTCTTTTGCTCAACTACTTAGTGAAATATATCATCTTTATACCCCCCCCCCCCTTTTTTTTTTAAGAATGACAGAATAATTATCATAGCCATATTAAGCATGATAATGGGATAGAATATCCAAAAATAGAGTAATAAAAAAAAAACATAATAACTATTGGTATGAATTATAATTGGCGTAAAACATACAAATTAGAGCATGAATTGCATTGCTTACTCAGTTGTCTTTATCTTAAATACTAGCATGAAATAACTGTCACACTTACATGTAGAAGAATGCATCTTGGTAGATAAATTTTATTATTATTATTATTATTATTCTCTTTTTGCCTGAAATAGAAATTTTTAAGCACAACATTGAAGATGTCCCTTAAAAGCATATGATCGTAAATATTTGTGGTAAAAGTTAAAAAAGTATATCTAATAAAATTTTTACATTTAATTTTGTAAAACAATAGTTATTGAAAGATTTGTTTTTATAAAAACTTAGTAGGATATCGATATAAGTTTATAAGTTGGAAAATTTTGAAGATATAACTAATAATACTATGTTGTGTTGAATCATTGTTCTTTTTTGTTTATTATTTCATGATTAAGTGTCTGTCCTAAACATTTTGTACAAATTAAAAAACAATTATATTATAATTATACCGGGTATGTAGCATAGATACACAAACTAAGTGTTAAAATAATATTATTTGTATTTTTTTTTAATTATATGTCAGTTTATTATCGTTGTTCTTTTCTTCTTATCGTTGTCCTTTTCCAGCAGGATTAGCTAATGTGATTCTTTCAACTTTGACATTTTTAAAAAAATATATATTCAATTTATAAAAAATTACTCTAAAGTCTCAGTTGAAATTATTTACTAACACTAGATTCCCCAACTTCATTATTTTCTTGTTCTAAGGTAAATATTATTTATGTTAGTCTTCTAAAAAATTCTTTCTGGGGCACCCCACAACTTTACTTGTGACATAATCCAATTTATTCCTTAATCAATAACTAGCAGCAAAGGAGATGAGAATATTATCAACCATCCAACACAGTATCAATGACTGTATGAAGAAATTATTCAAATTAAGAAAAGTAATAAACAAAATTCCTTGCTTGTGAAATCCAAACCCAAACGCTTCATTGATGCCCAAAACTAATGGGTCAAAATTGGGATACAGGGGAGTTTTAAAACAATTCCTTCTCAATTCATCTTAAAATCAAAAAGTCAAATATCATTCTCATGTTTTGCATAAGCTCAATAAAACTATTTTGTGTTAATAATTTATTTTACAAAATATTTTGTTAATCTTATTATAAAACAATTCCCAGTGTTCTTAAAAAAATATGTTTATAATTTAAATTCAAAACAACTTTATGCCAAACAGCAAACCTTACTTTCATGCTTTGATTTTGATGATGTTCATATTAAGGGAGAAAAAAAAAAGGTTTTGTAAAGTTAAAAGTAAGAATGAGTGAAATATCAAATCTAGAACTAAAATCAACATAGGCCTAAACTACAGTCTAAAAATACTACAATTACAATATCTAGTTTAATAGGTGAAAAATTTTCTGATTAATAAATTACCAATAATGAAAAGATACAAAGCATAAAATGCTTTGTTTAAATGGAAAGGAAAAGGATGAAGGAAAAAAAAAACAATATAGATTAGGTTATTTGTTCTTGAAATAGTATTTTTTTTTTGTTATAAAATTATTTCTTTTTGTAAACAATTAAAACAAAGTTCCCTCCTTCTCTCCCACTTCATGTCTTTGGAGGATAATTTCTTTTTGTAAATGGTTTCACCTCTCTATTTACCTTGTTTTTATATTATCATTCATCTACTTACTAAAAATGTTTCCTTTTCACTCAATTTAAACATACCATGAGTTCAAATTATACAAGAAAGCCTCCAATTGTCCCATAAAATTCCCAATATCCAGTCATAATGAATATATTACACTTCAATATCACCATGCTATTGCAAAATCATCAAATTTAATTTTTACAACCTTGAAAAAAATACGAAGTTCTTTATCAAGAAAAACCTAAATACTTTTTAACTTTGGAATTAAAATAGAATGGTTAAAGAACTTCCAAAATAGATTATCCAAACATTTTTTGCTTTTTAAATGACATTATCCTTGCAATAAAATTGATACAAAGACAAGAAAAATTTATAATTTTATTGTTGTAGTTATTGACTTTACTTAAATTACCCATAACTTCAATGATGATGACCAAATTCTCTTCCCAAGAGTAAAAATTCTTAAAATTTTAATTTTCTAAGATTGAAACTTGCAAGTGTACAAGTTAAAAATCCCTTCAAAACAATCCAATCTTCCATGTTATACATATGAAGATTATTCTGATGTTTGGTATAATATATTCTGCCGTAAAGCCTTCTAATATTTTTAGTTTTTGAACAAGAATTCTCTAGAGTGACATTATTATTAGAGATGATCTTAACTATTGAAATAAGTATATTTTAAAAATAATAAATATAAAAATGAACAATTAAAATTAATATTAGATTTAGTGTAGTAAAAATTTTACCGTAGAGAATCCAGATCCTCAGTTTTATTATTTAAAAGAATAATTTTAAATATAAAATAATTTAACAAATTTATACACCTTTCCATATTATTTTAAGATAGTCAAACAATATTTCATAAAAAAAAAAAAGTACTAATTTTATTTTAGGATATATCTTTATTTTATTTGTGGCCAATCAAAGAGTAAATTGGATCATGACTTATGCTATTATACTGAAAAAGTTTCTCAAGAAATAAAAGTTTAATGCATAGTAATATCAATTTAAGTTAAATGGTGGAGCAAAATTGGCTCAAAGTTGCTTATGATAGCACAAAGGATGAAAGAATCACATTTGAAGACTCCTCAAAATCATCGAGAGAGAGAGAAAAAAAAAGAAGATGATTTGAGATGAATAAGAAGTAATTTTCCTTCAAGAAAAATAAAGATTAATGACTATTTTATCTTAACAACATCATGATGAAAATAGTCACAAAGATCAAAACAAGTCATGTTGATATTTAAATAAAAATAAGGAAAAGACAATATAAAGGAGTGAAATCCAACACATATTAACAACTTAGGCCGAATGGGATTGATTGCTATTGAATCCAATCTAACTTCTATAAATTTACATAACTTTTTCTCACATTCATTTTGTACTTTCTTTCTGTTTTCTATCACATCATTATATATATATATATATATATATATATATATATATATATTTTATTTTTTTTTTCGTCATTAAATATGGTAATATAATAGATGAAGAGGGAGTGCAAACTTAGTGACCTTTCTGGCTTCAAATTCTTTACATTTAGCAATTAACTTTGCATTTCAAAACTACAATTTTATCCACTCCTTTAGTTTGAAAGCTAGCCTGATGTCTTTCTCTTCCTATTGTCCATTTGCTTCTGTTGTTATCCACAAATATAATTTTTTTAAAGAATTAAGTCAATTTATATATAAAAATAATAACAATTAAATAATTACTTTAAACTGAACAACGAAATAAATAATAATCTTACTATTAACGGGTAAATATAGATAAAAAAAATCAAGGTGATATCAGAAATAAAACCAATCACAGATAAAATGTCAAAATTTATAGCACAAGGCAAAATATTTTTAAGCTAAGCACATGAAACTAGAATATATTTTACCCTACAAATTTAACACTTATCCCCTTATCTTTAACTTGTACGAGGTGATAAATAAACTCAAGTATTATTATTAACTATTAATTTAAAATATTCATAAATGCAAGACGATAAGAGTAAGACACGAGTTTCAAAATTTATTCCTGCGGGGCAAATTTAAGGTCTAATTCCCTGAACATACGGGAAAAGTCAGATTAAGTAAAAACTCCCCCTTAATCCCTGCCGTTCCATATACCAACCTAGTCGTAAACTATGGCGAAATCAATTCATGAAAATAGTCCGACTGCTAATCATGAATCAATGGCCAAATCTTTTTACTAATGAATTCTTTTAACTTTAACGTATGAAGATGAAAGTTCTTAAATACATTATCAAAGAAACAAAAAAAAAAACACACACACACACACAGAGGGAGGAAGAGATATATAGAGATGCCATGCCAGAGACCTAAAAATTGTACCTCCAAAATTGAAAAATGCCTGCAAGAAAAACATCTTATTTGTCATTTTCATCTAAGGTTCTAGCTTGATTACCATCCAACAGCTCCTTTACACAAAATTGATGCAAGTTTTCATGCATTTTCTTCCATTGGTTAACCAATTGCATTGACCTTTGACAATCGTGTTTTAGTTTCTCCATCTCCATTTCAGAAGCAGCAACAGAGCCTTGATGCTGAACATAGGTTTAAAAAGAGATTAAAACACAATCAGGATCAGACAATGCCTATTCTTTTAATAAGACGAGTAATCATCAAGACACACTAACCTGAAGTTCCTTAATGTAATTCAATATCACATGAGAACTGAGGTATGAAACATCCGTGGATCTCCTGTCACCCACAAGGCTGATAATAGTCTTCATATCGGAGTCTTCATCTGTTGAATTTGCATATTTTTCCAATGGAGGGGGTAGATTAGCTCCCTGCTTTCTTGAGGATGCTTGTACATTAGAAGATATGTGATTACTAAGGTCAATTTCTCGTCTAACAACAAGAATATTATTTACAGGTCCTGCAGCATCCAGAATAGTTTAACATTAAATATAAATAAATGCATGCTTAAGTAGACTCAATATTGAAAACAACCACGTGATTGATGCCACCTCATGAAGGTGATTTAGTCATAAAAAATGCCATCTAAGAAAAAAAACTTGACTACCTCTATGAGCATCCAAGTTCCAAGTCAATCACATAAAAAGACTTGCCTGATCACGCAGAGTACATTGAGATAAAAACAATGTATCGTAATCAACGGGAAATAACAGTGGAGCACAAATCAAAAGGTATTTAAGTTTATGAAAAGAAAGGCACTATATAAATACTGTCAATGTCCTTCGAAATAAGTAATAAGAATTAGGTCAGTATTTGTCTTAATGAGCTAATCTCATATGCAAACAAAAAGCGTACTTATTGTATGTAATGGCAATTGTTTTAACATATAGCACATAAATTAAGTTGTCACTAACAGGTTCTAATTTGGAAAATAAAGAACTTGAGCATTGATAGAGCAGCAGTTCACACCATAAAAAATGATTATAATAAATAGCACAAAATAAGAGCATTAATAAACATAGATATGCAATCAGAAAGCTCTTTCTGCAAAACCATAAAATAAAAAAATCACAAACCACAAGCAGAACCATATTTCTCAAAGCTCATACACAATACCTTTCACATGTCTAAACATGCGTACAATGTTACGAGTTCTTGTGTTCCAAACACGAACCATTCCATCCTCTGACCCAGATATCAACAAATTCCCACTCGTGTCATACGCTAAGCAAGTAACTGCCTTGCTGTTAAAATGAGGAATATAATTAGTTAAATGACACTGCATAGCTTGAACCAGCTTCATTGTAATTGGCATGGCCAGTATGAAAGAGGTATCTGAGATGTTTAAAAACAAACTAAAAATTATAAAGAATGTATCTACTTATGGATGATAAAGGATAGTTCATTTACTTGTTTACCACATAAATCCTTATGATCAAAATATTCTAATACATTTTTAAGTATCACGGTGGCTTCAAATTAGTATTGATATGTGTGGGGGATATTTCAAAATAGTTCAAGCTTAAAAAAAATTACAGTCAGCTCTGGTTAAAAACTAATAATTTCACCATAAACTATCTCACGTTTATCAACCGTTGTAATCAGTATGGGAACTAAATGAATGTTGCTTGAATTCATCATAGCTAAGGATTAAATTCTCTGCGGACCCTATATTCATTGAAGTTATTGATGAATTCTTAACAAAACTGAATGCTCCTAAGTCCAACATGTTGCTCTCTAAGAACTATACTGTTGCAAATACCAAATATGTTGCCAGAAGGAAGCATCAACATGTGTTAAACACATTATCCATTTTCACAATATATTTTGTACAATCCAAAATAAGACAAACGGGCATAACTGAAGCATATTTGAAAAACTAACATCATGAGAGGAGGCATCCATAGGTGTCTACATTTTAAGATCAAGACAATAATAGGAAAAAAGATAACCTGTGGTTAGAAAAAGAACCAATGATATGCATCCCATAATTATTAGTAGCAACGCTTTCAGTGTTAAGGGCAGCAATAAATATCTTTCCATCTCTACTGCCAGCATAAAAGACGTGTTCAGCAGGATCCAATGCAATGGTGTCAATTATTGAAGGGAATACTATATTTCTTAGCAGTGTTCCCCTAGATAAGCTCCATATCTAAAAAAGAAAACAAATTACAATCCAGAATCCAGATCAGTGAAATGCAAAACATACAAAGTACAAACAGCAATCATCAAGACTTATCCCACCAAACAGGGTTAGGCACAATACAATAGAAATCATCATATGTGTGTGCACAAATCAGTTGAACAGAGGCAAAGAGCCAAAGAAGATGAATACAGATCTGATCAGAAAAGGGCAGAACCACAGACAAGTTGCAATGAACAAGGAAAGAAGTTCTGAGGTTCTTTTTTATTTTTCAGCAAATGGCTTTTCCTATGTACAGTGGAATCATATGATTTCACAGATTCCATAAACAATCCCACCAATCACATCAAAACACATTTTCCATGTGGATCGATATCATGGGGAGCAGGAAACGCCATAGGACCATGTGATCCCACAATCAAAATTGCAATTTCGACAACAATGTTCTCAACCCTTGTCACCCAAAAACAAGAACAGCTAGATTCCACCCATATTAAGTAACATTTATTGCTTTGGTAAGTCAAAGACGTTATAAGTAACCATAAATGATTAGAAAATACAAATAGTATAAGCAATTCAACTCGGCAATAGTAAATATAATTCTTGGGTAAACATACCTTACAGGTCCGATCCTCTGAAGCTGACACTATAATTGCATTGCACCCTCCATAACCAATCGCAACATCTGTTACACGCAGGGTGTGCTCTGAAAAACTATACTCATAAAGATTACTGGCTTGCTGACTTCTCACATCATCAAATATCCTGAACCACAAAATGCAGGGCAGCATATGCCATAACAGTCAGCACTGCTCCTAAAAGGAAAAATCAGTGCTACAGGAGTAAAAAAAAAAAAGAGACAAGAAGAGCATCAAGTACATGAAGAGGGACCAAACTCTTACGGATCCATCTTCAGAACCAGAAATCAGCAGCGAGTCATCTTCAGAGAATACTAGGCAAGTAACAGCCCTAAAATGAGCACGCCACTTCTTAAGCAACCTACCAGTTTCAACCTTCAAAGTAATGCACACAACTCAGTACGGCAAAGTAAAACAAAAACAGATAAATACCCGCTTTCAATTCATAATTCTCCACAACCTAAGGCCGCAAAAACATCAGCAAACGTTTAGATTAACTTATTACTGAAAAGCATCAATTTTTATTTTGATGCAAAATGGTTCACAACTGGGAAAAAAGGAAGAAGAAAACTCACATCCCACAAGTATATGTCACCAGACAAAGCTCCACCGGCTATAAAGGTTCCTGGGTGATTAGCGGCAAGGGGCTTAATGGGTTCAGCAGGGAAGCTCTTAACTTCAACTTGAGGCTGCAAATTCATCATGCAAAAGTGAAAATGTTATTATTTTCATTATTACCCATATTTCATCATCATCATCGAAAATAATAATAAAATAAATATAAAAGTGACCTTGGACCAAGACCAAAAGAGAACAGAACCAGAGGATGCGGAAGGTTCTCGAAGCTGAGAGGAAGCAATGAAGCGAGCACCAACGGAGACGAGGCCATGAGAAGGGGAGGAACAGGACTTGTAGCGGAGTTGTTCAGCGCCTGTGCGAAGGTCCCAACACCCAATTCCACCATCAACAGAGGACGATGCCATAACAACCTCCATCCTTCCTTGGAATCAGTTCCTACTGTAAGAGATTTCAACGTTGCATCGTGGAATCACAGAGTAAGAATGAAACAGAAACCCTACCTTGTTAGCAACAGTACGCGGTGGCGGGGGTGCTTCTCTGGTAATGGGGCTGCACCATAAACCTCAAGGGTTTTGACTTCGGAAGACACACCAAACAAAAAGAACGAACAGCTAGGGTTTTCTTTTTCTTCTTTTAAAAATTTAAATTTTGTGATTCTATAGAATTGTAGTTTTATTTGGAAAATTATTTTAATTTAATTCTTATGCATACAATATTAGCGTTAGTTTGTTTAAATGATAAAGAATTTAATTTTACTTAAATAAATAATTTAAGTCTTGTATGCAAAGAATGTCGTGCTTAAGTATATAATTAAGTTGGGATCGAATGTAATTTTTAAACATTAAAAATTTTAAAAACAACAATTTTTTTATACTATATAATTCTTCATATATTATTATTATTATTTTACCTTCTAAGGTTTATACGAAGTTATTATAAAAATTATGAAATTATATCGATAATTATTATTACACGGATGAAAATGTGATTTACATGTATTTTTATTCTTGTATAATATATTTTAATTTTTATATTTTAAAAGTTTAATTTTCAGTTTTTACAATTTTATTTTATTTTATTTTATTTATGGTTAGGAACTCAATTTTAGACGAAATAAAATTACAAGAATTTAAAAACAAACTTTTAAAATAAAAAGGTCAAAGCCAAAATCAAGCTAAACTATAAAGATGAAATTTTATTTAAAAAACTAATTCTTATAGTTGATTATGCAATGGATTATGTTGTAACTCCAATAGACAATGAGAACCAAGGGTTGTCAATTAAAATTGTCGTTGCCACAAATATAACACTTTCAAGTACCAATGCATAATTGGATGTAGTAGAAAAATTTTAGCTTTACTTCGATATATGTTGTTTCTGCACTTGCAGTAAAATTAATCTAAGACAACCTAACACTAAATTGATAATGAGTATTAGCTATTAAATATATTTTGAACTTTGTATTTATATATGTATGAGGGCATGCATGTGCGCATGTGGGCACAGCAAAAGAATATTATTTATATGTCAAAAAACATTCACTCAAATACAATTAGGATTAAAAAGTGTAAGCCTAACTAATTCACAGGTGGGTTTTTACATGGAAATATTTGGAAATGATCCCTAATGCACCACAGCACGTTCGGCTAGTATTCAATATCAATCCATACAAGCCAGAGAATATATCTTATCTTCCAGATTAAAATATGGACATAAGTTCCTTCAACTTAAAGAGGCTAGATTAATACTCAAATATGTGTAAGCAATTTTAGTTCATGTCATACATCTACACATAGCTTTATCGATAGTATAGCTGAACCAGAAATTGGAAGGTATACCGATATGTTATTGACCTTGCTTTATCAACTTTGCATGATGTCAATGATATTCTGCGACAAATCTGAGAAGCCTAAATACCCATGATGGGATGCATAAGAGCTCAAAATCCAGAAAGACATGGATCAGTGAATTCATCACAATTGAGTACACAGCGTAGCAAAGCTATTTATGTCTTTACCCAATAGCATAAACTTTTGGAAAAATTAATTCTTTGACATGGTATAAAAGCTACCAGTAGTCACCACAGGAACAAACCCCATCTCTAAAATGATGGAAGCGATTCACATCTCTAACAAGAATTTCTCTATTGGCAAATTTAGAAATAAACTTTGTAACGGCATGACAGTCTTCACATAATCTCAAGTTTTTGGTGATCCTTATGGTTTCACCTTTTGCGGTATTAATGAGTCCGAAAGCAACAGCAAGTTTTTCGCTATGTCCCAGTACAATTCTTTCCTTTTCTTCTTCATCAAGATCGTAGAGAACAACATTTGTCTGAGGGACATAACCCTGATCCTTCATCTCAGTTGACAATTTAATTAGCAGAGCACGGAGCTCTTCAATTTGTGGGTTGTACTCATCAACAGAGACAAATGAGTATATCTTCCTTTTCACTTCAATCCAGCTGCGACCTGGAAGCTTTTGCAGGCTGCGAGCTTCCAATAGCTTCATCACATTCTTTGCTTCACTCCACATCTTAGCTTCTGTATAAATATCTGCTAAAAGAACATAATTACCAGCATTCCTAGGCTCCAACTCAAAAAGCATAGTGCTTGCTTTCTTTGCAAGTTCAACATTACAGTGAATCCTACAAGATCCAAGAAGGGAACCCCAAACCGTGGGTCCTGGTTCAAAATGCATACTTTCTATTAGTTTGATTGCTTCATCTAACCTGTTAGCTCGACCAAGAAGATCCACCATACAAGCATAATGCTCCATACCTGGATGGATCCTATACTTACTAAGCATAGATTGAAACAAAATCTTTCCCTCCTCAACAAGGCCTGCATGACTGCAAGCACCTAGAACAGTCACAAATGATATATAACTTGGTGAAACTCCTTGGTGAATCATATTTTCAAAAAGTTGGATTGCTTTCTTTCCAAAACCATGCATACCGTAAATAGAAATCAAAGCATTCCATGAAACAACATCACGATTCTTCATCGTATCAAACACTCTTTGTCCTGTCAAAATCTCACCACATCTTCCATACATTGTTATAAGGGTGCTAAGAACTGGGAGTATGAAATCAAGACCCCTTCTAAGGATATAGCCATGAATCAACTTTCCTTGTTCTAATGCAGCAAGACCTGCACAAGCTTGAAGCACGCTAACCATTGTAACTGAATTTGGAACTGAATCACATGCCTCAAGCATCATTAACTTAAACAGTTCCAGTGCTTTCACAGGCATTTCATTCTTTGCATAACAAGCAATCATAGCACTCCATGAGACAAAGTTCTTGACAGGCATTGCTCCAAAAACGGATTTTGCATACGATACAAGGCCAAACTTAGCATACACATCCAACAGAGTAGTCATAACATGAACATTTACTTCATAACCATGTCGCAGAATATGGGCATGAATCTCCTTACCTTTCCGGAGAGGGCAGACTGACAGCTCCGAAACAACGCAAGCCTTAAGCACGTACGTATAAGTGAACCTATCTGATGGGATTCCAATCCAATTCATCTGACCATACAAATCTAACAGCTCCTCACCACAACCCACCATTGCCAGCGCTCGGAAGAGCGCATTCCAGACATATATGGTTCTTTCCTGAGTTTCATCAAATACCTTCCAAGCATTATCAATAGACCCAAGTTCATAGTACATATTGATAAGTTTAGAAGCTAAAAACGGGTCTTGGTCAAAACCATTATTGACAAGATGGCGATGAACATCAAGTCCATCAGATAGCGAGTTCTGCTGTGCGCAAGAATAGATTAAATGCTCAAATGTCTGCTGAGTTGGATTGGGCTCACAACACAGAAGCTCAAGGGCTTGCTTAAGGTTGCCTCCTCTGCATAATGATTGTATCAACTGGTTGTTGTTGCCCTTAATGTCTGTGACGGGGTTGGCTGAAGAATTCAACGAAACAAAAGAGACTGGCAATCTTGCCGAGACATGGGAAACATAGCAGCGGTTATTACTCTGAAATGGAGCTTGTCTGATAATTTGAGGAGTCTGAAGCACCCACATCAGACAATATTTTGTTGTACCTGATCTTCAGAAGGGTAACTCAATGTTTTTGCTATTTAACATGAATATTTGAATAAGTTCAGTAGTTTGTATAGCTCAAAGCTACGGTATACCTGTAAGTAACATTAAGAAAGAAACCAAAACAACTCAAGGTTAAACAAATAACTAGCATGAAATCGATATCAACAAAAATGAATGAAATATAGTGAAAAAAAAATTCTAAGATAATATAACATAAGAAGCAAGAGGCACCCATTAAGCTCTATAGCAGTTTTTACTTGAGAAACAACAGAGTTCCTAGGCGACTAATTTCATTTCATCACTGTAACCTTCATTTTAGTAATTTACTAAAAAAATAAAATAGTGTCCCTAATTGAATAAGGAATATAAATAACCTGATAGAATGTCCCAAGCAAAAACATGGAGTTAAAGAACAAAGAAATGAAGAAACAAGTTGGGGTTACCTGAAATTATAGTTGTGTGGTTCTAAGATATAAAAGCGTTAACAGTTTTTGTGTGGTGGATTAGTCTCTCTACTTCGTTACTTGAGCGAAATGCTCCCTGTTTTGAAAGAGAAAATCTAGACACTGGGCCCCATCCCACAGGACATAGAAATTCAGCAAATTTAGATATTTTGAAGAGTCCTTTTTTCAGAACCGTGTAACGAAAAAAAGTATGATTCAACAAATTTAATAATTTTTTTTGACGTGGGTTAAAAATTATATATTAAAAATATTAAATAATTATAAAAATATGTAATTAATATCTTTTATGAATTTGAGATAATAAAATAAAAAATTAATTTTAACTTCTGAAAATATACTTTTAAACACATATTATAAAAATCATAAATAAAATGCATATTTAGGTAATGTTTGTGATTAATATCAATGTTAAACAAAAGTAACTTTTATGCTAAACACAATCCAATTAAGATAAGAACTGGATATTTAGTTTTATTTTTGCTTAAACAAAAATAGACTCGCTCAAACAAAAATATGACAAATATTTTAATGTAAAATTAATTTTAAACAATTTTTTTTAGTTTAAGCGAATTTTGTAAATTTTTTTAAGTAAATCATGTTAGCTTAATCGAATTTTGCATCTTTATTCTCAATCTTCTCTTCTCCTTCTCCTCATGTCCAACACTCTCTCATCAATCTTTATATCCAACCTTCTTTTTTCTCTCATATTAAACTCCTCTATTTCTCTTCTAACTCCTTATTCCCTCCACCACATACCCAACTTCTTTCTTCTTCTTTTCACTCTTACCTTACCTCATACCTATATCTCTTTCTTTACTCCATCACCAACTCTCCACCCTCCTATCCCTCTACCACCACCCTTATACCATTGTTCTCCTTATCTTCATCTATCCTCAGTCGTATCTTCCTCTCACACCTAGCTTTCATATCTTCAAATGTACAAAATTCGTTTAAGCTAATTTTACATAAAAAAAAAACTTTGTCATTTTTTGCATTTTTATTTAAGCGAGTCTATTTTTGCTAAAGCAAAAATGAGACAGGACGTTCAATTCTTGCATTAACTGGATTAGACCCATATCCATTTTTTTACAATATTTGTTTGAATATTAAAATAAACAAAGGTCACTGTTCAAATATTTTAATTGTAAAAAACTTTTGATCTTTATGATATTCTATTTTAAATGTATATGCACGACCAACTAGTTCAGTTCATTTTATGATGCCCAAGTCATAATCAATATGCTTGAATTTAAAATATGGTTACAATAGATAATATTCTAAGAAAGGCAAGAGAAAATAAGTGTAAAACTTTTAGTCAATATTTTAATAAAAAAGTTGTTGGTTAAATCTTTATTACGTTTCAAATATGTTAATATTATTAACCAAAGTTTCTATAGTTGGGGAAAGGAAATTACAATCTAGATACATATAAATTTATGAGGCACACCATCTTTGTTCTTTTTTTTTTCTTATATATATATATTTTCCTTTTCTATAATAAATTTTTTATAATTTATCTTATAGGTGAAACTTCATTTTTTTCTTAATATCATGACTATTTTTATTTTTATCTTTTTCTTCACTCTAATCTTCTTTTTCTTTTCTAAGAAGTGTCATTATGGACAACATCCATCTTTTTTTTTTCAAAAGTTCTCTTTTCTTGTTCTTTCACTATGAAGTTATTTTTTATTTAGTTGAATAAGACATGGAATGGGTTGTATTAATGGTTTTTATTCAACATTTAATAAGGTTGTTATATTGAAAATTTGTTGTCGTGGTTCATACTATTTGAACACACCCTGCTTTTTTTCATCTAATGTTTCTATCATGTTTTTTAAATACATTTAATTTATCTCTTGAGTTCATACCTTTTTCCCTCTCATTTTACTTTTATTCCTTTATTTGGTTTCCAACATTTACCAACTTTTGAGTTTTGAATTATTGTCGAGGTTTTTACTGTAATGCTAGTGATCTCATGCTATGGAATCCATCAAATGATGTCCCAAAACATATACAATATTATCATGTTGATTATATGAACAAATTTCTATATAGTTTAGGGTATGATCCATCAAAAAATTACTATTTGATAATTATTAAAGGATTTGAAACAAATTGTTACTACTCTGACCTATGATCTAACATGGAAATTCATATCTAATATGGAAATTTGGAGAACTTGATTTGAGATTTTCTCATAGAAAACCAATCCATGGAACAAACTTGAGGGTATCAATTTTATTGAGGCAGATGTTGAGTATGAATTTTCATCGGCTGAGTCATTCTTGAATGGAGCTTTTCATTGGTTGGCTTTGATTGACAAGATACATTTTGATGCAATTGTTGCCTGTGATTTGATAGAAAAAAGCTTATTCAAGATTCTTATGCCACATGATTTAACCATAAAATATAAAAGTATAACATATGAATTAAAGTTGACGGTATTGGAAGGATGTCTTAGTTTGTGTTACTCGTGTGATAAACATAAAATGACTAAGATATGAATGTTATTTAGCACGTTAAACTTATTTCCTCTTAATGTTGTCACTATGTGTGCAGTCCTGATTGACTAGATAAAATATTTTAAGCAAAAAAAAATAAAATTAAAAGTAAGGAAACAGGACCTAGAACAAAATGTTTTGGTTATTTTGATAAAATTTTGAGTTCAAAAGGCCTAAGTATTGACTAAACCCTCATTTTGGTCCTCAAGAGAGTTTGCGTCTTGCATTTTAATTCTTAAAAAATTTAAAATATCATGTTAGTCATTGACTTTTTTATCTTCATTGTATATTAAGTCCCTAAACTTAAACGCTATTAATAGACAGTAACGAAATGCTGACATGTCACATTAAGTGATATGGTCATTGCTTACGTGGCAAAATGATGCGGATGTGTCATGTTAAGTGACATGTGTCATTAATTACATGGCAAAAACGACGTTGTATGTGGTATAATATATGTTTTCATTTTATTTTAGTCCTTAAAATTATAACTCATCAGACATTTTAGAACTTAAGATTGTCATTGACAGATATTTTAGTCCCTGAGATTGTCACCAATAAGCATTTTAGTCCATGGGATTATAACTTGTTGCTTTCTAGGTTTGTTTTGCTTTCATCCTCATATCTTTCCTTCACATCTTCTTTAGCTTCTTTTGTGTGAATGTGATTACACATTCTTCTTCTTTGTAGTTTTCTTGTGTATATATGCATACATTTATATGTAGTATTTGGACTTCACTTGAACACAAAATCTTGAGTTATAGGTGATGAAGTTGTTATTGGTGTAAGGACAATCTATTACATTGGTGTAACTTGAAGATATACTGTTATTGCTCCCATTCATCTTGAATTGTGAAAAAGAAACGTGAGCAAACACAATTTCTAAATTCTAATATACTTTTCCTAGCACACTCTTATTAGCTGAATTTTTGGAGAATAAAATAATTATGAATGTCTCACTCCTAATTTAATAAGGCAGACACATAAGATTGCAGTTTTCAATAAATATCAATAATAAAGAGAATGTTAGAGTTAATTGTTGGCACTCTTTATTGTGAAAAATGGAAGTGAAAAGTTGTAAGTAGAATGAACGACAAGATACATGAAAAATGATACTTTCACTTATCTTTTACTCTCCAGTCTCCGCTTGCTAGCCAGTAATATATATTTTTTCAAATAAAAAAAATGAGATCACTAGTATGATGCAGGGAAAGATCAAGTTTAGTGGTGGATTAAATTTCTCATTGGTTAGGGTAAATGTTTGATGTCTTGCTTACTCACAATTAGGATTTCCACCAGGATTTTATAAAATATTACGCAATTTTATAGCTTAAATATTATAGAATGTCTAATTAATATGGTGTCATTCACAATAACCTCATGTTTCGTGCAGGACATAAAGTATGCATGGATATTATATGCAGTTACCTTGATGTGCTTGCTTTTCTTCAAATGGTAATGCAGCTAGCATAAAGCATAATATTTGAAGGAGAAAGCCACTAAGAACTAGTGTATCTATTTTTAGTTGTGATTACAGTTAAAAGCAGAGTCTAGTTATGTTGCAATGTGGGAGCTAGTAAATTTTAGTTGCATTTAGTACATGCTATTTGTCATTTTCATTTTTTTTACCCTCTGAATAGTGTTATTATCACGTTTACTATTTGACTATGTTCCCTGCTTTAACATGGTTTTAATGTTTAATTTCTACTTATTTTACCATATTTTAGGTGTTTGTTTCATGAGTTAATGTGCTTTTGCTCATTTCAATTTATTGTTCTGGAGATATTTTTAATCTTAATCATTTATGAGCTGACATGGGATGAATGGGTTAGAACTATTCAACTTGTTATATGAATTGGTCTTACATGTTGTTTGTTAACAGATGTTCACTATACCAATCTAGTGTTGATAAGGTGTCAATCATAGTTTCAGTATGATATCCATGAAGTTACATTGATTGCCCAAGCAAGGATGATGGTCCAAGGGAAGGATAAATTAGAACATTAGAAGAACTTGTATACCACATAATGAGCAAGGACATTTCAAGAACTAAAATGTCCAATGAGTTTGTTTGGGATAAGAAAAATTTTCTAAGTTAAAAAATTATCTTGAAGGAAACTACATTTCAACAAGTTTTGAAGGTCAAGAAGGAGTCAAAAGATAAGCCTAAACATAAGAGAATATTGAAAGACCATCCAAGACCTTTAGTTTTATTAAAAGGGACACATTTCGTGCTATTTTAGAAGATTTTTTGTCATATTGTTGGTTTTTCTCTAAACTGCTTGAAAGACAAGAAAATATTCAAAGTCCACAAAACTAAAGGCTTTTTCGAGTAGTTTGAGGGGCTTCCAAGTCACTGACACCCAAAACTGCTCAAAAAACAGGACTAACAAGAAAAATTCTAAGTCCACAAAACTAAGGACTTTTTCGAGGAGTTTTCAAATCACTGACACCCAAAACTGCTCGAAAAACAGGACTAACAGGAAAATATTCCAAGTCCACAAAAACTGATGGTTTTTCGAAGAGTTTTTGAGGAGTTTCCAAGTCCCTGACACCCAAAACTGCTCGAAAAATAAGAAGTGGTCAGAAAATATTCTAAGTCCACAAACCTGGCTAAGCTCTAGATTTCCTCCAGAATTGCTCGAAAAATAGGAAGTGGTCAGAAAATATTCTAAGTCCACAAACCTGGTCGAGCTCTAGAGTCCCTCCAGAATTGCTCCAAAAACAGAAATGAGCAAAGAAAATGTTCTAAGTCAACAAGACCAAGACAGGCTCTCAAAACTCCAGAATGGCTCGAAAAGAGAAGTCAAGAAGAAACTATTCTAAGGCCATAACATCAAAGGAGCATCTTAGGTTTCTCCCAGAAATACTCGAAAAATAGAAAAAACACGAGTCTTGATAGGTCAAGTCATTGAAAAAATCCAAAAAGCAGTTACTAGCAGTTATCAAACATTCACTACTACGCAAAGGAGATCGTGGGCGATGGCAGTTACGAAAGAAGTCCTAACCAACAACACGATCACAAGCAATCGTGGATAATAGGCATCAACAGTTGAAGGTAGTTACTAAGAAGTGCCCGCAAAAGGAGGAGAATGGTGATGGTCTTCATGTCTATAAATACTCCAAAGCACCATTTTACAAATGACGACTTTTTGCACCCAGACACCGCACCTAAACTCTCTGAGACGCTGAAACCCTGCACCACGCTAGACACCAGCTACAAGGAGACTCACGGTGGCCGTCGTTCGCCGTTGTGAGGAGTCGTACGTTTACATTCCAACACCTTTACATTCCTGCATTTACATTCTGCATTTCAATTCAAGTTTCTTCGTTTGTTTGATTTTGTTCTTGTTTCTGCAATTCATTGCTTATTTCATATTTTTCTGTAATGAACCTCTATGTTTGAGTCAATTCTGCACGTTTAATATTCACTATTCTTGCTAAATTGCTTAATTTACGCGTTCATTTCACTGTTACGTTAACAACACATTTAAAAGAACACAAAGAGGACCTAAATCCAGTCCCTATATTGATCTTTGGATTATTTGTTTACAATTGTCATTTTTCACCGTAAACAGAGTTATAATTTCAAGAACTAAAATAAAATAAAAATATATATTATACCACATAACATAAGTATTCTATTACTGTCTGTTAACGTCTAGGTCTAGAGACTTAAATGCTCGAAAGAGATGAAAGTCAAGAATTAACGTGATATTTTTAATTTTTTAAGAACTAAAATACACAACGTAAATTCTATCAGAAACCAAAATAACAGTTTAGTCTCCAAGTATTTATAGTGAAGTAATCCTTGTTTAGTTCTTATTTCACAAAATTTTTATTTTAATATAAAATAATAACAAAAATATAATAAAAATTAAAATGAGTAGGTTTTTAATTTAAAAATTAAAGTGAAAATTTTATTAAAAAAAAAAGTTCAAACTGTGATGACAAGCGCTTCCTTTATTTGAAAGAGTAAAAACTTCCAATTACAGAATATAAATTTATTTTGTCCTTATATTGAAACTTTAATACGAAAAAAAAGTAATAAAATTTTAAAGAACTTTCAATATAATATTCACAAGATACAATTTCGGACAAAATTATAGTGACATTTTAATGTGAAATAATAAAATTTAGTTTTTATTATAAATTTTATTTTTAAATTTTAAATTAAAAATTTAATTTATATAATTCACTCTTATTTATAAATTAATTTTTATATATACATTTGATGAATAAAATGTATATTTTAACAAATTTGAAAATAGGTTGAATATTTAAGGGATAGTGGTGAAGTAATGGAGTAGCCAATGTTTTCGTTACTGAAACATGAAGAAGGAGAAGAACCGTGCTCACACTCTCACACTCCCTCACGAGTTGATAGTAGAAATTCTCTTAAGGTTACCTGTGATATCTCTCTTGCGATTCAAAAGCGTGTGTAAATCATGGCTTTCTCTCATTTCCAATCCTCAATTCGCTAAATCCCAATTTGACCTAGCTGCACCACAAACCCATCGCCTTCTCCTAAGATCAACTCATTTTTACATCGAATCCATAGATGTAGATGCATCGCTTCACGACGATTCCGCCATAGCCTATCTCCCTCTCCCTCTTCCATCACCCCCTACCCCTCGCCGTCGTGAATACGCTATCGATCGTTCTCGCGAGAATCACGAGATTTTGGGTTCTTGCAGAGGACTCATACTCCTACACTACGAGAACGGCGATCTCTTTGTGTGGAACCCATCGACAGGTATCTATAGGCGTATGTCACATTCTTATTGCGATTTAACCTACGAATTTCTCTACGGTTTTGTGTACGACGCATCAATCGATGACTACTTGCTAATTCTCATTGAATTGTACAATCCGGAAGTTATTGCGTCTGGTTGGCCAACTCGAATCGAGTGTATCTCCTTCAGAACTGATTCATGGAACCGCGTTGAGGACGTTAATGGTCGATACAAGGATCTCGGGTATGAATTCAGAGGGGGGTCACTCTTGAATGGGGTTCTTCATTGGTTGGTTTTCTCTGAGGATAAAAGGGTTCCTTTAATTATTTGCTTTGGTTTGGTAGATAGGACTTTGTCAGAGATTCCTCTGCCACTTGATTTAACTGTGCAAACTAAATATGAATTATATAGTTTGAGAGTACTGGGAGGGTGTCTTAGTGTGTGTTGTTCGGTTCATGGCTGTGACAGGGATGAAATATGGGTCATGAAAGAATATAAGGTGCAGTCTTCTTGGACTAAGTCCTTTGGTATGTATACTTATGACATTCCTCACAACCACTTTTCCCCCATATGTGTGACCAAAGATGGTGGAATCTTTGGATCGAATTTCTGTGGAAGATTAGAGAAGCTTAATGACAAAGGAGAGATACTTGAGCATCTCACATATCGTAGAAGTAAAGGGTTGTATGGGGGCAATCTACAGTTTGCTTTATATAGAGAGAGTCTCTTACCACTCCCAAGTGTCATTGGGAGAAAGTAGTGAAGTTGACCAACAGTAACAGATAAGAACACTTAGGGTATGCGATATTTTCCAATTCTTATCACGATTATATTCCCGTGATGCGGGCTATCTACAGTCTGCAATGGGCTTGCTAGGACATTAGGTTGTTGGGCTTATTTTCTACTCTATACTCGGGATTTAACTTATTTTTGTATGGTTCTTACGTTATATTAATGTTCATCATGTAGTGGTTACTGGCCAAAGAGTCAATTGCAGTGGTTTTCACTTTGATTCAATGATGTAGATGGGCAATTATTTCAATACATTGCTGTTGCCTTATATTTCATCCTTTTTTCTTGATTCCCGATCCTAACAAAAATTTTAGGATCTGAATCTTTTATGCTTGGAAATTGCATTGTATAGGTTCATTGCTTCATGTTTTCCTCTGTCGTTGTCTTTTATTTTATTTCTCACCTGTCTCCTCTGCATACTGCGTTGTTTAGTTGAAACTTGTTTTGTTCGTATGCTTCTGATTCATTACTGCCCGCTATTGCTAGTAAGGTTAGCAAATAGTCTCTCTCTATGCATAGCAAAAAGTAGAATTCACCTGGTGTTATAGATAATTTGAATATTGTATTGTTCATTTGGTTGATGACACCAGCTCACTTATTTTTCTGATGAAGCCGCTCGTATTGCAGCTTTATGTTTAAGGTAAATAGGAACCTTTCTGTGAAATTTTTTTAATTAAATTTTATCCTTTTGATGTTATTCTGAGTTGATTATATCATATATATGTGTGAATACGAGTATGGGAATCAGTAACCATGTGATCATAAGATGCTCCTTTGCATTGGCCTCATTCCAACCACGAACATTCTTTGTTATTTTCATTTTTGGTTTGAATGATATTACTAACTTAATAAGATAATTTAACTAATAAATGTGTTAGAGAAATGATTCAACAAATACATCAACCACCACCACCAAACTTTATCTCACTAGGGGAGGTTGACTACATAAATTAGTGAGGTAGGCTATGGCTATATGATCACACGACGATTTTGACCTTGGTCAAAAATTTAATTTCAGAAATATGATTAATAAACAAAAATGCACCTGAAATAGGTTAAAATAACTAGGGCTTAACTTGAAAACCATGCAAAATAGGGTTAGAGAAATAGACTGCAAACATAATAATAACAACATTTATAGGAAAAAAGATACAGAAGATAAATACTATGTACTAACTCCAACTAGGACTTGATAACTACTACTTTGAAACATTATTAAACCCGAAGAGTCAGTTCAGACTTCGATCTTACAGGAATCATCACTAAAACAAATATTAGTTTGCATGGAAACGAGATTGTTTAATGGTATACATGACATTCTCTTCTAAGTGCCACGCTTTCTGCTCGCTGAAGGCAGTCATCATTCGAAGTAAAGCTGGGACATCAGGGTAACTCCAATATTTTGTAAATGTCACCGTACTAATTAGGCACTGTTGAAGATTTTTAGCTTTAAAACCGTGATATTATAAAAACCACACCTGAAATCGTAGTTGGTTTACCCCCAAATGTCATTTTTTCTTGTATAATTTTCCATTCAAATTGCCATTGATTATTCTGACTAAGCAAGAGGAAGACATCTGCCATTTTCCCTTAGCATGGTAAATTCAATCAACAAAACCTCATTTTCCTCACAATCCCATCTATCATTTTCATGTGGTACACATTCAGCTCGTAACTTTTCTTTTTCCAAATGCAAGATGCATAGGAATAAAACAGCTTAAAGAATCAGAGAGCAATGCATACCCTGATTTTCGTTTCTCACCATTGGTTAACTTCGCTTGTCTCCCCACCATCACTCGAGAATGACAATAGACTCTCTGTACATAGCAGATTGTAGATTGTCTGAGCACAACCTATAACATCCACTAACATTACCAAATGCGCGATGCTCAAGCAACTCTCCTTTCTCATTCAGTTTCTCCAATCTTCCACCCACATTTGACCCCCCAAAATTCCACCATCTCCGGCAACACATTGTTGAAATGGATCACGAGTAAGGTCAACAGTAGATATAACAACAGACTCTGTCCAAGATGACTGCACCTTATATTCCTTCATAACCCATATTTAATCGTTGCACTCTCTTGAACCGAGCATCGAACACGTAGACACCCTCTCATCACCCTCAAATTATACACTTTACCAAATCAAAGGCAATAATCTCTTGAACCTTCCTACCATCATAAACCCTAAACACCAACCGGTGAATAGCGCCATTCAACAATGACCCATCTGACCCATCTCCGAATTCATAACCCATATCCTTATACTGAACACTGATACTCTTAATACAACTCCAAGAATTAGCTTTGAAAAACATAAACCTCGGGCCCAATCAGCGTCAATAAAATGAGTATCGCTCAAATCCACGATAATCACCAAATAGTCATCGGTCGCAGCATCGTATCCAAAACCGTATAGACAATCGTACATGTCTCCAAAATATCCGTCTAATATACACTTGTACATACCGTTTGATGGATTCCATACGATTAGATCACCTTCTACGTAGTTGAGGAGTATACCGAATTAATTCATATTATAGAATTATAATTTTAAAAAATTAGTTTAATGACAGAAGAAATCAGGAAATTATTAATTTTATGAAATATAAAAATTGTTTGTTGTATAAAATTGATAAGTAAATATAAAATATCTAAATAATACAAAAGCATTTATTATAATACGAAAATAATGGTAATTTATTATGCAGCTAAATATAATCTTGTCGATGTAGGAGATAATATGAAAGGAAATATATACAAGTTATTCTGAAGTTCTAATTTATCCTTCCCTTGAACCATCATCCTTGCCCGGGCAATCAATGTAACTTCGTGGATATCATGATGAAACTATGATTGACACCTTATCAACACTAGACCAGTATGATGAACATCTGTTAACAAACAATATGTAAGATCAATTCATATCACAAGTTAGATTAGTTCTAACCCATTCATCCCATTCCTTACGTTTAGCTCATAGATGATTAAGATTAAAAATATCTCCAGTAACAATAAATCGAAATGAACAACAGCACATTAACTCATGAAACAAACACCTAAAACATGGTAAAATAAGTAGAGATTGAACTTTAAAACCATGATAAAGTAGGGAACATAGTCAAACAGTAAACGTGATAATAATACTATTTAGAGGGTAAAAAAAACAAAAATGACAAATAACATGTACTAACTGTAACTAAGATTTACTAATTCTTACACTGCAACATAACTAAACTCTGCTTTTAACTATAATCACAACTAAAAGATAGAGACACTAGTTCTCACTGGCTTTTTCCTTCAAATGCTATGCTTTATGCTAGCTGCATTACCATTTGAAGAAAAGCAAGCACATCAAGGTAACTGCATATAATATCCATGCATACTTCATGTCATGTATGAAACATGAGGTTATTGTGAATGACACCATATTAATTAGGCATTCTATAATATTTAAGCTATAAAATTGTGTAATATTTTATAAAATCCTACTGGGAATCATAATTGTGAGTAATCAAGACATCAAACATTTACCCTAACCAGTGAGAAATTGAGAAATTTAATCCAACATTAAACTTGATCTTTCCCTGCATCATACTAGTGATCTCATTTTTTTTTATTTGAAAAAAAATATATTACTGGCTAGCAAGCTGGAGAGTAAAAGATAAGTGAAAGTATCATTCGTTCATTCTACTTACAACTTTTCACAATAAAGAGTGCCAACAATCGACTCTCTAACATTCTCTTTATTATTGATAATTGTTGAAAACTGCAATCTTATATGTCTGCCTTATTAAATTAGGAGTGAGACATTCATAATTCTTTTATTCTCCAAAAATTTCAGCCAATAAGAGTGTGCTGGGAAAAGTATATTAGAATTTAGAAATTGTGTTTGCTCGGGTTTCTTTTTCACAATTCAAGATGAATGGGAGCAAAATGGTCCAAAGGATTGAGAACATTGCAATGCATACCCTAAACCTTCAGTGTCACAGTTAGTCAACCACAGGGAGTGGTAGTAGACTCTCTCTATACATGGCAGAGTGTAGATTGTCAGTGTACAACGCCTCAAAATCTCCATTAAACCCAAAATCCTCAACCACCTTTCCTTTGTCATCAAGTTTCACTAATTTTCTACGGCCCTTCGTTCCCAACATTCCACCACCTTTGGTGAAGCACAACGGGAAAAAGGACTTGTGAGGAATGTTTCTGGAAGTAGACACAACAATGGACTTGGTCCAAGAAGATGCCACTCTATGCTGTTCCATCACCCATATCTCAATCTCATCCCCTTTCCAAGCCCCTGGGTAACACAGAGCCAAACACCCTCTCATAACCCTCAACCTAGGACGACACAACCCATACATCGGAGGAAACAACCAAAACTCAGGTTCCGGGATTAATTCATCTGGGAGAGGAATCTCAAACAAAACCTTTTCCATCAAATCAAACCCAATAATCACACGCTCCTTTTTAATCTCAGATAAAACCAACCAATGAATAGCCCCATTCAAGTGCAACCCAGCTCTGAATTCAAACCCTAGAAGCTCGTACGGAAAACTAGCAACACCCTCACGCTTTACACTGCTCCATGAATTAGCTTTCATGGAGAAAATCTCAATCACAGTTTGATAATTAATCGCTGTTGCTATGAAAATTATACAATAGTCCTCGGTTGAAGCATCGTAACCAAACCCATACAAAACAGGGTGCCCAAAACCCTGTAAAAAGAGTTCGACAATTCCACAAAAGGGAGAGTGCGATACTCGTTTATGAACACCAATTGAGGGATTCCACAGAACAATATCACCCCTTCGGTAGAGCAAAAGAACGAGACCTCTGCAAGTACCCAATATTTCAACTCCTTCGTGATGAACACCGTGAAAGAGAAACGGTGAAAGTGGTGGAGGAGGAAGAAGGAGGTTTAAGAAGGAGGAATCATCGCGAAGCGATGCTTCAATGTCTAGGGATTTGATAGAACGGTTGGTTGATCTGAGAAGAAGACGATGGGTTTTTACTGCAGCTAGGTCAAATTGGGATTTAGCGAATTGGGGATCAGAAATGAGATTAAGCCATGATTTACAAACGCTTTTGAATCGCAGTAGAGATTTGACCGGTAACCTTAAGAGAATTTCCTCAATCAATTCGTGAGGGAGTGTGAAAGTGTTCTTTTTTCTTCTGTCATTCTCCATTTTCCAGTGTTAACAGTGTCGACACTGTTTCACACGCCCTCTGCTTATTCTACGTATATACATTTTCGTTTTAAGGAAAGGCAAAAATGTACCAGAGTTAACATCTATCGTGGACCGTTAGATTCATGTATGTTTTATTGTACGGCCCAGATTTTTAATTCAGGTATTGCTACTTTAGAATAGATTCTATTGATTTTTAAATTTTACATTGCAAATTATCTGCCATATCTGTAGTTGCTGTGCAGATTGCAAAATGGGCAAAAAAGCACTTTCAAAAAAATAATATCAATAACAAATGTTATATTATATTGTATTATATTATATTAGATAGGATTAAATTAAAATATTAAAACTAATCAAATATATGTTGCGAAGGATATACGTGGTATAGACTAAAAAATATTAGATGTAGTTGTGCAAGATTATGTGGTTTAGATAAATAAAAAATTAAATTTTTTAAATTAAAAATAAATTTCAATATGAAAAAAGTCACTCAATGTAATTAAAACTATAGTTTTTAAAAATATGTTTATTTAAGACAAATTTACAGAGTATTTTTAAAATTGAATGGCGGGATTAAAAATCAGGAATTTCCTCACTCAATATTCCTAAATTTTTTGGATATTGTTTCAAAACCTTACAATGTTAACAAGAAATTTTATTTATTGAATCTAGAGGCAATTTTTAGACTTATTCGTTTTGTCGTTAAAGTTAACCTGGCTTCAAATAAGACATCACAATCCACAGCTGAGGTTCAAGATCCTATATGCAGTCTCATACACAATCAAAAGTGTCCATTTCTACAACAACTCAATGATTTAAACAAATAATAAAAATTGACAAGATTGAATCTGATATAACCATATCCTTAAATTTATTACTAATACATGAATCATATGTCAACTTTTTCAGTAGTCACTATATGGCAGCACATCCATCCCCATGGTTTTCTATTCATATAATAATAACCATATTACAATTTCCATAAAGAAAGTTTTGTTTTTGGATAAGGTTCAATAAAGAAAGTGAGTTCATCATGTGGACGGAATTATTAGAGAATTATGCATGGATAGCTGTTACTATTCAGTTAAGGAGAAGCATTCTTTGAAGACTTAGCAGGGGGTGTGCCAGGGCTGCTAGGTGGAGGGAGCAATGGGAGGAAAGGAAATGGAGAGGTTGGTGATGGTGAGGATGGAGATGGAGATGGAGTTAAACCTGGTACTTGTGGTGGGAAAGGTAACAGTGGTGATGATCCTGATGGGGGAGGCAGTAATGGGTTAGGGATGAATGGTGTTGGATTTGTTGGCTGAAATGGGTTAGGAACAATAGGTGATGAGCCTGGTGGCTGTAATGGGTTAGGAATTAGAGAAGGTGGCTGGAGTGGGTTACGGACTAATGGAGGTGGTTGAAGTGGGTTGGGAACAATGGGTGGTGGAAACAGTGGGTTAGGAGGAAAGATGAAGTTTTCAGGGTCAGCTACTTTCTGATCTGAAGGCTCAACATTTGGGGATTCATTAGTAATTCTTGTTGCAGGGACTGGTGGTGACCATGGTGCTGTTAATCCTGGAAGGGGTGGTAGAGGAGGGAGTGTTGGCATTGGTGGAAGGCTAGGTAATCCAGGAAGGGGAGAAAGAGTAGGAAGGAGGCCACCAGGTGAGTTTGGATCCTTAAGTGGAGGAGGAAATGATGGATCTACTTTTTGAGGAAATAAAGTTTTCACAGAACCAAGGCCCTTGATGTTTTGAATGCTAGGTTTTTGGTTACAAAGATTTGGCTGTTTAAGAGGCTTGAATGAGAAAAACCCAGCTGAGAATATGTGTAATCCTTGCTTTTTGGACTTGAGCCTTATTGAAGAAGAAGTTGCCGCTGAGGCCACAGCACAATAAGGCTCACTGCTACTTAATAATGTCACAGTGCACCCCTTTATTCTTTTCACATGTTTACTCACTGAGAAAGGTAACTGCACCTTGAATTCCCCATGTTCATCTGTCTTCACTTCTTTCCTGAATCTTGATTTTGAGCTCCCATATCCATCTTTGCATTCTACAGCAACTGATGCACCTACACACAGGAATTTAGAAAAGCATGACATCAGCCTCAAAATTTAGACCATGCCTATCAAGTGTCAGCTGATTTAGCTGGTAGAGATATGAAGTTGAACCATTTAAAAAATAAGGGAATTAGTGGAAATGCACCTGAAATGAAATGGCTGCCCATGGAGAAATCCTGTTGGAAACATGTGTCACAGTAAACAGTGCCAACCACAACAGCAGAAGGAAGCTTCTTGTCCTGGATAGCCTGAGAATGTGTACCAAATGTGAGACTGAGAAACAGTATTACAAGGAACCAAGACATTCTCAGGTTTCCTTCTGTTAGAAACTTTAGTCTATGAATAAAGGCTATAGTGGATGATTCTGCTTGTAAATAAACAATAAGGGTCTATAAGCTGTACACTAAAGAATTATGTCTATCCTTCTTTCTTCCACTTTCTTATCTTTTTTCACTCTTGATGTCATTGTTAAAGAGAATCAAACAATAATGTTTTATAGCCTGACAAATAACAAGGCTATTTATGCCTGTCATGCAAAAACCAGTCAACTGTAAACTAAAATGCAGTAATTGTAGGCTTGTATTCCCATCAGCAAACAGCTAGGAAAGAAGGTAAGTTGGTGGTTGGAAAGGTTAGATAAAGAGAAGCTCCTAGTTTCTGTTTTATTTAATTTTAAGTTTGTTTCTTTGTTGGTATTAAAATGCCAAAAGATATCACTGGGACCCTGTTGGTTCACGGGACATAGAAAGTGGCCACATAATCTGTGACCATGCAAGACATGACCTTGCTGGATCCACAGTGAGTGTTAGCACAAACAATGTTAGTATTACCTGTTTGGTTCTCAATTTTAGAACTGCAACGTATGAGCACCTTGTGATGCAGATATGCATGTGAGTATGTTACTATTATAATAAATAGTATTGGGAATTTAAGAATATGGGTATGTAGTAGACTTGGGAGTTAAGCATGTTAGAGAAAAGAACGGATTGTTGCAGAAACAACAAAAATTTCAGCTATATATAAACAATAGTATTATTTATACATCATTTTTATTACAATCTCTTTTGTTTGGACTAATATTATGATCTCATTTTTCTAAAGCATTTGATAAATCAATATAGTTAATTCTATGGGTTTGATGTTTATGCTGTCTCAGAGTTTATATTCCAAAAATAAGGAAAAATAAAATTATTCGTACCAATTTCTAAAGTCACAATCCAATATTTCAGTAATGTTTCCCTTCTCATGGTAGTGTCTGGAGGATATAGTAAACCAGGTTCTCAATTATTGCTCACTGGCCCTGTAAACTTAAAATTATATATAGCTGTAAAGAAAGGATTGTCCATTAATGTGACTCATGAAGAACTGCGATGTCTTGGCCTCTACTCTGTGTGGAACTATTCAAGGAAAAAGCACAATTCGTTCTTACAGTATAGAGTTGATACAGCTAATATTTGCCGTAGTCACGTGATTCACACCATCTCTCTCTCTCTCTCTCTCTATATATATATATATATATATACATAGTACATTAGTATTGAATAATTAGGATGAAGTCGGATAAGATTTGTATAGATGATAAAACATTCCTATCGAATTTTTAATATTCTCAAATACTTAAAATTCTTAAAACGAGAAATCTCATATTGTAATTTTTTTTTTGTCAGGTAATATATTGTCATTGAATCTGTATCACGTAGGTTTTGAGGACCATTACATATGATTGCAAAACAAAAGAAAATAGTCATACTACACTAACATACCCTCACCAAACTCATTCTAGTTTTACCCTAAACGATTCTAAGCGTATACAACAAATCAAACCAGAGTTCAGTAAACGAAGCTGAAATCTTTTCAACTTCAATCAGCTACAGACAATAAATCCAATTACAAACCTCAAAAGTCATAAGATTCAATGCCATCAATCACTGCCAATTAAAATGAACAATCCAACCCACCACCTAAAATCTAAAAATTGCATATAATACATTTCACGCTTCTGAAGAGAACTCTACTGGGGTGTGGAGGATCTGTAAAATATCAACAAGTAGGATTTTTCTCTCTTGTTCTTAAGTTCTTCATCCATCAATTATAGACAACAGCGGCCATATTTCTATCCCAAAAGATTATCAGAAAAGACACTCCATTCAACATCACTGCTCAAAGTATCCACTGTGCAAGCATCTCCAGGGTGCATAATATGAAGTCTTTGACATTGATCCCAAAGTGGGAAATGTTTAAAGAAACGAGACTTCAAAAAATTTTGTTCACACCAGATGCTTTATAATTCTATTCACAATAGCTCCTTATCATAAAATGCAAGAAGCTGCTTCACATGATTATGCCAGGCGGCTACATTTTGCCCATCCACTGTTACCCAGTCAACAACTATTGATGCTGGTTGCTCCCACCACTCATCAAGCTGCAGAAGTGGTTAAAAATTTAATAATAGAACTAGAAGTCTTGTAAAGGAACATGAAAGAAACATACTACATATACACAGGAAAATGGGAGTGAACAAGAGTATGTGCATAAGAAAAATTGTACAAAAAACTCATTCCTGAATTCTTTTCACCGCCATTTTTAGGGATATCAATCTAACTCTTGTAATAATAACACAATAGTGACTCACCAATCCCCTGACATATTTGCAATCTTCCAAACTCTGCTGAGCATTCAAAACAGCAGTCTTAAGTTCAGGCAACCATGTTTCCATTATAGTTTTCTCTTGTTCTGCAGCTAAATTCAAAGAAAAACTTGTTGTCCTGCATCATTATATCAAACATCAAAACAGGAGAAGAAATAGCTTTCAACATTCAAAAGATATGCCTCCGAAAAAGATGGAAAAATAAATTGACTACATCTTTCCCTTGCCAACATATAAATTTGAATCTACTAGAAAAATTAACCATGAATGCACATTAGATTCAGTGGTTGGATACATATTTACCTTTCATATTCCTGTTGAACACAGTAGGCATGAGTCAACAAGGCATGACCACTTTGAACAAGATCCCGTCTAATATGGACAAGATTAATAGCCTTTAATAAATCTTCCAATACACTAGCTTCAGAACCACGAAGTTTTAAACAGAACTCCAGCGACTCTAGCACAGATGCCAGACCAGCATCTGAAGCTTCCAAGCCTGTCCATTAAACAAGAAAATCATTTGATAAATAATAATAGCTTTTAGAGCATTCCAAGCACAACAAAACCTTCTATTATATTCTTCAAATTGCAAGATAATGAAATAATAAGTTGCAGCAAAAATATTGATTTGAGACAATAAAATGCCATTTCTAATTTTATTATAATTGTTTTCGAAGCTTGATTATGGCACTCCAAAGACTATAAAGTTGATTATATTTATATATTGGCACTGGCAGGCATGCCCAGATATTTGATTCAGAATGACAATTATTAGTGTAATAATACTAAGTAAATCAACATTAAATTCTTTCATGCATGAATGTAAACAATTATAACCTCTGACTATGTAAGATTTTCACCCGTGACATAAACAGCCACTGGTACACACTGTAACAGGACTTTGATACACAGCCAAATTAAAAGTTTATGATTTATCATCAAGTTATACAAACATGAAAACAACTCTACAAATAAGTTCACAAAAACGGTGACCAAATCTCCCCATGTCAAATAAGAATCATTCTAGAAGAAGCTATAGAGATTAAAATTAATCCAAAACTTAAGCATAGTTCTGCCCTTCATCATTCTAGAAATTTCTGTCAACAATAATTTAAGAACTATAAAAATAGAATCTACTTAAACCTACAAAATGAATATAAAATATTTTATATACATTTTCATTTTAAAAATGTTCTAAAATTAACAAATTCAAGTGTTTTGGTAGGCTTTAGACAAGTTTCAGAAAACTTTCTTTCAGCCCTACTAATTAAAAAAACAAAAAATAAAAAATACAGGATCTACCATTACATAGTACATACACACCTACATATCAGCCATATCTGATATGACCATACCAGGAAAGAGGCTGTCAGCACATCAGAAACGATAAAATACTCACCAGCAGGATACTGAAGTGCAGCTGAAACGCGACATATTGATGGAATTGCTGACGGATCCCGAGCACCTGCTCTTGCTGTCAAAATAGCTGCATTTATTTCCGCATTTGCAACTGCTTCTTGGCCAGGTGATCCATTAGTGCCCATGGCCTCAAGCAGTGCCTTAACCAGAATTCAAGATAAAATTAAGTTGAAGCACATCTCAACATATATATACAATAAAGATATTTAAAGCAAATTGCTCTGAAATAATTAAAAATTTAGAGACAGATACTGGTTTAGAATTAGGGAAAATAGTCAATCTTTATCACAGAGTGAATGCCCTCTAACCTGTATCAATGAGATAAAAGGCCAGATCACAAATGTACAATATAAATTAATCTTCTCTACACTCCAGGTATTCAAGAGACTGGACTTTAGCTCCCACTCTAAAACCAAAGATTGATCTCTATTTTTTCTTCCAATTATTTATACCTTTCCATCTCTACACTTCTACCTAACTATTCAACAAACTAACTAATACAGAATACAGACTGACCCCTCTTTATTTGCAATGGTCAACATTCATTTTTCTTACAAGAATTTTAAGGTTACTAACAGATTTAAGTTGTACTACTAAATTTGCAATTTGCATCACACAAACCCTATTTAAACAATCTAACAACCATCCGAAATGAGAGAGTACTTAATGGGATTCAGAGCATCCCAATCCCTCCTGTTACTTTGGAGAGGCAGTTTCTAATTATTCATTATAAAGTTTCTGGTAAAAGCAAGTACGGTGATATTCAGTGGCAGAGGGCAGTTCATGCAGTTCCGAGGTGTATATGGCTGTAGTGCAGTGCACATATCTTTCAAGGAATCTCTTGCTCCAAAACTTGTTATAAGGTAGGATTATATCTATGACTTCTTGTGTCTGCTTCAATGTGAGTTTCCAAACACATGCAAAAGAGATTGAGGCATTGAGCAGCCTTGCTGCATTTTCAGTTTTCTTTTTTTCCATTAATTTATATTCCTTGTTGTATCTTGTGAATTGTACTCTTTTTTATCTAAAAAATTTCTATCCAACTAAAAAAAAATGGAACGTGTTGAACACTAGACACCAAATCTGAGTCAAGTTTATATTTAAATGAACTTAGAACCTTCAACTACCAAAAGGTAGAAATAGAAGATCCAAAAGTAGATCATGTAAAGTAACTTCATATATCAAGTCCCAAAACTTCAGAACATTATTTTTATTCTAATATATAGTATATGTTGGAGCATTATAAACCTGTGGGGAAGAAGGAAGCATGTAGAGGCTATTATCTGGACTTCGATAAAAGGTAGACACTTCTTTCTCAACAAGATCCTTTGCGCTATTTGAAGTCTCAGCAACAGCAGCACACGCTGGAATTATAGTGCTAGAAGCATACTCCCTTGCAGTTAATGGTTGCTGACTCCAAAATGAAGCAGCATCCTGCATTATAGGTGAAAAAGACAACAAATTTAAAATAAAAAACAAAATAAAGATAAAAATCGAAGAACTGTTTATTAGAATAAAGAAATTGGAAAAAAACAAGAACAAAGATGTGTTTGTAACATATGGGAAATGAATACCCTCAAGGTCCAGTAGGATCAATATATGTAAACTTCCTACAAATATTCACAGTCTAAATAGTCAATGAATGCAACAATTCACAGTCAAGGTATCAATGTTCCCACATAAACAAATCTATAAATAGATAATCCAAGTTCAAAACCAATGATTATTCTAGGATTCAAACAGGGTATCAACATTCCCAAGGATAAGCTGTAAATATACCTAACACAATTGTATTTCATAATATAGAAAATACTGAAATAGTGGAACCTTACCATATTTGCTTTAAGGAGTGCTGTATAAATGGTCTCAAGTTCTGATCTACGAGCATCAAATTCCTCAATCTTTTTCCACTTTTTTTTTAGAGAATCTTCTGCTTCTTTCCTCTCAGCACACAATTTATTCAAACGTTGTATTTCGGACATCAAGGTATTTAAGCTTGCCTTTAAACCAGCAACTTCTCTTTCCTTGGCCCAAACATCTAGCTGAACGCATGGAAGATATTAAAAAAATAAGTGGGAAAACTCATAGCTCAGATGTTGATGAGAAAAATATTTCTAGCGATGGGAAATGGGCAAAAAGTTTTTTTTTTCTTCCAACTTTTACATTGTAACAGCTGAATTCATAATCCTTAAATAAAGTTGGAAAATCTAAAAAGGGGAACCTAAATAATTTAATTGAACTTATAGAAAGCAAAATTCCTCAGATAATTTTTTTATTTCTCCCACCTCAAATGCTGATATAAAAAAATATTTTCGAAATCAACAATTCCATCTTTATGAAGTTCTCCTCTTATTAATGTACCTAACTATATCAACTGAGTAACCAGTCACCTAAGTAACTCAGTTACCCACTAACCACCCATCTATTTTTGTCTCTATAGGTGAAAGCTACCCACTCGTATATTTGGTATCTTTAGCCCCACAAGTATTTGATCTGTAAATTGTAACACTCAAAATCAGAAAGAAAATTTGCTGAGGTTTAAGCATTAACTCCAAGCATAAGCTATGCTACCAAAAACATTTTTTATTTCTTTAATCACCTGTCAATGGGTACTAATTCTTCCCACCATGCATGCTGATAATCTATCTTTTGGTTATTTATTGGAATAAAGCTTGCAAATGAGAGTATCATGGGAAAAGGTGACAATAGATTCTAAAAATATACATCTTACACAAAAGAAGTACCCAATGCACTGCAACTGTATGTTTTTCATAAATAATACCTCAAGTTGCCTAAGACTTCCAACATTCTGGGATGTGCTTCCAATACCAATTGAGTGTGAAGATACATCAGTGCCTCCATGCAGACGTTTCATAAGTTTCTCACACATGTCCCTTGCTTCTGCAGCCTTATTCAGTGCACCTTCGGTAGCCAAAAATTGTTGAACATGAGCTTTCTGTGAACAGAGATACAGCACCAGTTCAATCATTCCAATTATGACAACAAAATTATGAAGCTCAAGGAAGAATAAAGACCTGTCTTTCAAGAAGCTGATTTTGACTCCCTCCTGGAGGCACATCAACCCCAATCTTTCCATTGCCATAAAGTTGATAGTGTAGAGGAGAGCTCCCATCAGAAGAAGAAACATCCATAACTATGTTATTTTCATATTTGTACCTGGTTGAATAATGCAAGTTTGGATTATAACAGCAATAGCATAACATGTTAATAAGACCAAACCAACAACATCCATAAAATGCATATAGCTACTTCATAGTTCATACACACTTTTTTTTCCTGGTTATAGCATTTGTGACTGAATTTTTTTGGAAAGTTAAAGCAACAATGATTAACGATCTCTCACAGAAGGTTCAAATTCAAAATTATAGTCACAGAGGCATCAACAAGAGCACCAACAGAACAACACAAAAAAAATTAGGAATATTCTGATACCTCAAAGTCTCTGCATCAGCTCTAACATCAATTTTGTCTATTTCTCTGGAGATTAGACTTTTCAGCCGAAAAGTGTATGCTGTAATTGCCTGAAGCAATTGGGGAGGACTTTTTAGGCAATTTATAATAACAGTTCTAACCTCGTCAGGAATTTGCCCATCAAAGTCAAACCCCAATTTTGCTGTTTCTGCCTGTGGATTTAAATGAATGCCACTTCCTTCAAAAGCAGGAAAAGAACTCCGAATTTTTTCAATCATGTGAGCTACAAGAGATTCACAAGCCTTTCTAATACTCTTTTCCCTGGTGGTTTCAATAAGAATGACATCATCTGCAGATTTACCGCTCTTAACAGTAGAATAAACAGCTTCCTTCTCACTTTTGGCACTAAAACTATTGGCCATTTCGACAGAAGAATCCACACCCGATTTTTGAGAATCCCTCGCTTGATTTACATAGTAACAGAGACGTTTATGATATTCAGCGAATATCTTCGCAGCTTCATCACATTGTCGATCATAGGCTTCCAACATCACTTGCTTATGCCTGCACAATGGTAAAGAACTCATACGTTTGTTGTCTCAAGTCTCAACCATTCAACAGCAAAACCACCATAAATTCATTATTTCTTTTCCCCTCCCCCAAACATACTGTTGGTACAGAGACAAAATCACATAAAACTTTCTTATCAACAACGATATTTAATCTCAGAATCACATCGTTACTAGATATCATATTATACTTCTACAACTAATATATAAGAAATATGAAAAAATCCATTTCAACCAAACACAACGAAAATTACCGACTACATTAACAACACAATCTAATTAAAAATTAGGGCAAATTGAGAAAGCAAAACCTGTAATTGGCTCGTTCATCGAGCGTTCTCTTCCTCTCAGCCTCCTCTCTGGAAACCTCGAGCATCCTAGCCCTCAAATCCTTCCTCTGTCTCCTCACGACGTTCCTCAACCTCTCCACCTCCTTCGCCGCCAAATCGCGCTCCTGCAACGCAACCTCCCTCGTCGTCTCGGAACCCTCGCCGGCGAGCGCCTTCTCCTTCTTCCTCCCGCCCTTCCCCCTTCCCTCATCCTTCGCCAATCCGTCGCCGTCTCCGCCGTGGACGGTGATGTTCCGGCGAATGTTCTGTACCGTCTTTTCGGACTTAGCGCGGGTGACGAGGAAGTTCCAGACCGGAATCATGTTACCGCGGCAAATCTTACGGATTGACTCGACGGACGGCAAGTGCGACTTGCCGGCGGCGGCGTAGTTTCCGAGGGGACGGTATCCCATTTCCTTGTGCAGCCATTCGAGAATGGCCTCCGGCGACGATGACGCTGCGGCTGCGCTCTGCATGACTACGACGCTGAGTGTGATAGCATTGGCTGAGTCCTGAGTGACTCGGTCTAGTTAGTGTTTGTTACGGTTGGATCTGAGAAAGTGGAGTGATGTGGTGTGGTTGGTGAAGACGTCTGTAGTTCTCTTCACACTCTCAGTTTTACCGTCACTCACAATGTTGATTGTTGATGAAGATGTTGTCCTCATTGCTTTGGATTTTGAAATGCTTCAAAGCATTTTAAGTTAAAATATGTGTCTAATTTTTACAATTGATATTTATTTACAGGTAATTTTTATTTAAGAAAAGGGTATATTTTAATTCTTGTACATATATTTCATTATGTTTTAGTTTTAACCTGTTATACATAAATCAAATATTTATAAAATTTTAAAGTATAAAAATTAATTTATAAATAATTATTAATTATACAAACTAGTTAACAATAGTAAAATTAATTTTTATTTGTTAGTGACACGTTTTAATTATTGTATATTGTTTATCAGCTATAAAAAAATTAATATATTAAAAAATTTTAAAGAATTAATAATAAGGTTTGTCTAATACTAAATTTTATTGACATGATAATATTGTTTTATGTTGGAATAATTAATCTTTTATTTAATGTTTAAAGATCAAAATTTTGTTTGAAAATTTCTTTTATATATTTCGTAGGAATTATCTGGTAGTATACGAAAAGTTCACTTCAAAATTGTGAAAAAAATTGTTTTGTTTGATATTTTAAAAATTCATGAGTAAAAGAAATAAGTTAAACATGTTAATGTAAAGGTAAGTCAATTAAAGCGTCGTGTTGGTATTGAAATTTTAACTCCTGTTGTTATTAACGAAGGTTATTGTGAAAATTCATTTGTTTTTAAATTGCATATTAACTAAACTTGTACAATTCAGTAGTAGATCAAGCTAATGTTTAACTCTTTTATTAAACAAATAATATAATAAAAAGATTGTACTATTTAATTAAATAATATTTTTTATTAGAAACTTGACTTGAAAAAATTATATAGGAAGTTGATAAAACAAAAACTATTAATCTTATAAAATAAAGTACAATATTAATAATGTTCTTTATTATAACTTTTGAAAGATAAATTGTGACGGTTTTATTTGTGATAATCATGATCAAGTTTATTTTAGTTTTTACAATCTTTCTCTTTGTTTTTCTCTTATAGCTGAGGTTTAAAGAATTTGGTTAGAAATACATCTTATAATTCAAGCAAATATCTGTATTATTTTAAGTTGAAACTGATTTTAAGAGTTTTTATTTTTAATTTTAAATTCTTAGTGTTATAATCATCCCTTTTTTTTTTCTAATTAAGAATATTAGAGACTTGTTGAAATATATTCCCTTTATTCAATTTAACTATATTATGAGGAAAGTCAATCAATATGCTGACTAAGATAAGTATAGAGGATAGTGTTCACTTTTGCTGTTTTGATAAAGTTTCTCTTTCTATTTGTCCGTTTATTAGTTTAGATTCCTACAGAACCTAAACTCTTAAACCCTTTTATGTAAGTTTATTTGTTTTTAGGTAATTTAACCCACCTTTGATTAGTGAAAAAAAATTATATATATATATATATATTTTACAAAAGTGTGTAATTAAGAAAAAAAATATGAAAAGCCTATATTATCATGTTTTACTTGTCTAATTTTTAATTTGTTAAACATGTTTTCTTTTCTGATTATAATGTAATTTTATATTAACACTTAATAATCTTATAATAATAATTATTTCTTACTCAAATTATTTTTACAATAATTGTGCAAGGCAATATAAAAAAATAATTAATTAATAAATTTACTAATTTAACAATTCATTAAAAATAAGAAATTAATATTCTTTAAATCCTTAGTATAATTTATCTCCTAGGTTAGTTAATTAAATAAGATGTCACTACCATAAATGAAATTATTTAAGACATTATCAAGATCGATTAAATCCAATGAATAAAAAAAATCAACAAAATAAGCCTAATCGGAACATAAAAATAATATAATTTTAAACTTAAAAGGGCAATTTCTAACTTTTGGGTTTAGTCATGATGTTAAACAATATAAAAAATAGAACATTAATTTTTCCAAAATAAAAATTAAAATATTACGAGTGAAAAAGGAATGAGAAAGAATCCTTTTACAATTATATTTTTTTAACCTAGCATCAATTTTCGTTCTTTAAAATAAATCTATTTTGATAATATTATTTTAAAAAATTTATCTTTTTTGTAATTTTCAAAATCAAATCTTAAGAGCAACTAAAAGTTATATATATATATATATATATATATATATATATATATATATATATATATATAAACCTAGTTACATATCAATTTTCGTTTATTCATCCTTTTTTTATAATAAATATATTTTAATAGTATTATTTTTTTAAAAGAAATTTTAAAAACATTACCTCTATTTTAGCAAGTTGTTATGCATATCAGTTTTTTGTTTCTTTGATTTAGTTACGAAATAGTTTTGGTATCTTCGTTATCTGTTTTGCATTTATCCTTGTATTCCACCATTGTCGCTGGTAAACTAAATTATTTATATTTTTTTACAAATTAATTTCTTTTAAATACTTAAAGTTTAAAGTTAATACACTATTTTTATTTAAATATTTAAATATAAACTTATATTGATTATCACTCGAGTACTTGTATATAAATGAACGAATTAAAGAAGAAAAACATTAAACAAAGGTATAAACTATAACAATTTATTAAAGAAACAATAAAATAAATTATACCAAATGCATATAAATGTATAATTTAATATATATGACATGCATTTTGTCATTAATTCAATATTGGAATTATTATTATTATTATTTTGCTTATATAATGTATCTGCTATATATAGACTGTCATACTGTACTTGGAGGTAGAGAAAAAGAACACCAGTTACAACTTGTGATATTTTAAATTTTTAAAATTAAAAAAGAAAGTCACATAAAGTTTGGAAGAGATATAGATTCCTCTATCCATGACCCACCCACCGAGGTCGAAGGTAACGAAAAGGAGAGAGAAAGAGAAAGACAAGTGTTTTGCTTCCTTTAAAATTTTAATTTAGCAAATTCATTCATTCATTCTGGCAAATTTCGCCGAAAATTCCAAAACCCCTTTTTAGAAAACTCGATTTCCTAATTCAACTCTTCTATATCTCTCTTCTTTGTTCCTTCAGAAACAATTGCTCTCTCTCTCCCTCTCTTTAAGGTACTTTTTGTTTGGTTTTGAAAATTCAATTTTTGTCTTCTTCCTCGCTTACCCTTTATCGTTTGATTGCCTTCTTATTTTAACTGGGTATCTATTTTTTTTTTCTGGGGTTCATCAATTTGGATGTTTTTCTCCGTTACGTTTTTGTTGTTGTTGTTAAATTAATGGGAAATTCAGGTGTGTTTTTTTATGTGCCTGAATGATTGATGCTTGCGATTTTGCCGCTTCGTTTTTTTCTCCTTATGTTCCGATTCATGGAATGGAGGATGTGGTTTGTTTGATAGTTTATGTGTTGTTGTCTCAGAATAGTGATTGTGATTTTGCAGCTGAATGGTGTTGTACTACATAGCTTACCAGTGAAGTAAAGAATCATTTTTTCCCATAATTTGAAGGAACATTGAACAAATTATAGCTTCCAGTTGAAACATCTTACGTTGCCTTAGTCTTTTTCATTTCTTTTGGTTGCTCTCTAAGTTTTATCTTACTTGTTTTTTAACACCTAAAGGGAAAATAACAATGTGTTGCTATTGTTGAGTCCTGAACTCCTGATTTACCAACGGTGTTTTGTATACATGATGCTTTGAATTTGGAACATCAACGTTTGTTGCATTGCTTAGTACTTGGAAAAATTTGTTAATTTTGATTTGTCAAATTTGCGTGACTAGAAGCTTCTAGTTCAACTTTGCCAAATGATTTCATTGATATTTATTCAGTTCTGTTGTGTGTTTCAGGTGATCAAGAGAATCAGTGTGTGTTTATCCATATTACAGATCATCTGAACAGAAGAGGGAGGGTACTGGTTTGCGGAGGCGGTCGGACTTCTGCGAGCTTAGAATCCTCTCTCCTTTATTTATTTTTCGAAACCATAGTTATCGATTACTGCTGCTGGGGTCTTTGTCTCAGAGAGTTCATGTAGCAAACTCAATATTTTGGTGATCTATTGAGTTAAGGAGTGAGAAAAATTTTAGTTGAAAGGGAGAACGATATTGAAGCTTGAACAATGGGTTCTGTTTGTAGCTGTTTGAATGCTGGTGATCTTGAAGATTACATGAATCCAAACAATCCTGCATATAGGAACTGTGTGTGTATCAGTTGCTTCCTACAGCACTTTTTGAATGTGGCATGTCTCTAACTCCCTGCCATTCCCTCATTTCTTTCGTTTTGCTTTTTGAATGTTGTCCTGTCCATAGTTTGAATTTGTTGTCTAGGTCATGTCTTAGTGTATTATTTGTGCTGGAATTCCATTTCTGCAAAGTGGAAAACGTACCTGTTTCATTTTTAGGAGCTTTTTTTTTTGTTAGTGTTGTTGTACATATGCTTCCTCTCTGTTATTCCTTTGTTCAGGACGATATAATGTGAAAAAGTATTGTAATTGATAAGGTCGTATACGGGGGTTTGCTGGTATTTTCCTCTTTAGTTTTAGTCTTAAACTATATGTCCCAATCATCCGAAACACTACAAAATGCTGATGGATTGCATATAAGCATTTGTGCTAAATTGCTAATCTAAGTTAAATGTTGCGACTTATGAGAACTATCAATGTTAGAAGTGAGTCTTAAATTTAAGTTACCCCTTAGCTTATTGTGGGAGGGATTTTTTTAAGGCTCTGGCGTTAACTTGCTTGTAAGAAGGCCACAAAAACTCAAATAAAAACAAATTATAATCACCTATAATTTAGTTTTGGAAAGCTTTGCTGCAACTGTTAATTGAAATAATTTGGTGTTAATTCCATTGTATTGATTGCTATGTACATCAATATTCAGCAGATAATACTTTGAAGAATATTTTAGCCCTATCTTGATATTGATGACAGCTGTACTCCATAATATAATTTAACTCTTTTTCAATCCACCTCAAATTTCAGTATACCTCAATATTCCATAGAGGGGAAGTGCATTCAATTCCTTCATCTATACAGGGTGCAGCATCTATGACTTCTACAGCTTCACTTGATAATTCTCTATCTGATGTGTACCGTTCTCCTCCAAGGCCCTTGCCTTATGATGCAGATCCCCGGTGTTTCCGTTCACAGCGTGATGGACTAGTTTCAAGACGTGAGAAGGGTTCAAGTCATTTGAATGAGGAGTCAGAACCTCTAAGAGGTGATGTAGATGCTGACTCAGAATCTATAAATTCGGGTGGTAAATGGAATGATATTTCTGAAGATGGATCAAAGGAATACCGTTCTAAGTCCTCTGTGCGACTTTCATCGGCAAAACTTACGACTGGAGCTGCGCTTGTTGATTCATCATCAGAAGAGGAGGATGTCTGTCCAACTTGTCTTGAAGGTAGTTTTTCTTTTTAAATTTATACTTGAATTTTCATCAGAAGTCACATGGTAATGGGATTGTGACTAAGTTTTGCATGAAATATTGGTCTGTAGCAAAGTTATCATTATCAATCCTGGATAGCAATGCAGAGTGGTCAACTCCAAAACTGGTACCTCGGGATGGCTGTTATACTTAAGATTATAGATGCAACTCTTACTAGTTAGATCATTTAAACTACTCGTATATGAATGCTTAAAAATAAAATTACCCAAAAAGACATTGAGAATGAATAATTAAAATCATACTAGACAGTTACAACTAAAATTATGGAGTGAAAAAGAGTGGTGCAATGCCTGAGGCTCTCGCTTATTGGGGGTGGGAAGGGTAGATGTACTCAGCCTTACTCCTGTAAGCAGAGAGGCTATTTCTAGGATTTGAATTTGTGACCTCATGTCACTAGGCAGCAATCTTATCATTATATCTAGGATTACCATGAAACCTCTTGCAACCTTAAAGCTCTGAAATTAAATTTTTAAAAAGGAGATCTCGTCAAAAATATAAAGAACACATCATGTGAGACTCTCTCTGAACAAAACACAGAAAGAAACAGAAAAAGAACTACATGGAGATGCTGGTAAGAAAAAGAAGAACGGCCTTTCTGAATTTGTGAGGACATGAACAGATCACAGACAAAATGTGGGTTGTGCTGTGATAATGAAAGGGAGGCTTTATCTGTAACAATGCTCAAGTGCAGAGGGCTGGTTGGAAAGGGACAAGATTGGTAATGACATTAATTATGCTTTTTGGTCTCAACTCTCCAATACACGCATGAAAGAAGGGTACGTTTTGTCTTGAATCAGAAACGTGGCTTTAGATATAAAAATTAAAATATGGTGAAATAGCTAAAATATTCTATTAAATGGCTTCAATTACGCAAAATAGGGTGGGCAAATAGAAGGTTTTGCCCTGTAAAGAATAGCAGTTGCAATTCCTGCTATTTCAAAACACTCCAAAACAGTGAATGGATAACTAGGGGCTGCTCCTTGGCGTTCTTCTGTTTTAATGGTGCTCGAGCGCACTATTAATGACTAGGTCTGTTGGATGCTTTTTTACATGTCTTGTCTTGTACACTGTTTTCTGGAAATTATATTTTTATTTTGTTGTGTAATTGTTGTAAATGATATTGAGATTCTGTCATGTATGCCTTCCATCCCTTAAATTGTGATGAGCAAAAATGAAAGCTGGATATTTTGAATAATTAGATAGAATAAAATATGTTTTGTGCAATGGTTTCTTTATGCCATAGTTGATTTCGAAATAGTAGAAAAGCATAATTTATTAATATTGACATGGTTTTGGCTTAGAAATTAGAATGTAACTTTAGCATGGGAACACAGGAGGCCAACTTTCTGATTATTACTTGTGCTTGTAAACATATGATACTTGTTGTAAACAAAATGTTGTACTTGTTAGCCAGGAAACACTATTTTGAGAATTGGAACTTTATCAGATTCTTATATATTTTTTTCAATTATTTTTTGCTTGCAGAATACACTGAAGAGAATCCAAAGATATTGACAAAATGCTCTCATCATTTCCATCTTGGTTGCATTTATGAGTGGATGGAAAGAAGTGACAACTGTCCTGTTTGTGGGAAGGTAATACTTGATATTTTCTGAATTCTTTCTCACTGAAATGACTCTTAGCATGTCATAAATTTTAGATCATGGAACACTTAAAGTCAGTAGGCCAAGAATCAGGCAGGACCAGTCGGTTGAACCAGAAACCAGTAAATTGGCCATGTCTGTGGTTCAGTTCTGTAAACCTAATAGGGTTCAGTTCTATAAATGATGTTAATTATTTCATTCCATTCCAGTTGTTAAGTCTGTCTGTCTAACAGAAAATGCCACCCCTGGTGTCAGAGACATTTTTCTGGTCCCTGATCTTGGTTTTATGAGCATCACATTTGGTGGCTTCATAAATCCAATGAAATCCCTGATCTGTTCCTCTCAAAACAGGGGAAACAGGAAAGGAAAGAGAATGATAGAGGTGTTGGTGATGAGGGAAAGGGCCTGTGATATTGCCGCATATCAATATAAAATTTATGTTTTTTGCTGCATAATTGCCTTGATAGAATAATCATTTGGGATGAATTTCATATTACTTTACATGGTGTGATTTTGTTGATACAGAAAATGTTCTTCAACGGAATTGAAAAATGAAAAGAAATTAAAGGATGAAAGGTAGATTCAAAAGAAGGGCTTGCATTGCATATTGAATAATAAAGGATTTGTTTATGATAATAAATAACAGGAATATTTCATTTCTCTTCTACAATAACTAGTTATTATAATTACTCCATGTCTTGCAATGTCTCATGGAACTTCTTATAAGCCTTTTCCCCTCTTTTAGTGAAAACTATTTTGCAATTAACATGCTACTAGATCTGATGACAAATTAGTTTGTCTCTTATCCTAGTAGTACAATTGTAGTTCATTGGTACATATTACCATCAATTTTCTGGGCTGATCAAACTTTATTTAGATGTCATTTCGTAAACTTGTACAAGTGAACTACACAAGGGTGAGAGTGTATCTGGTGTTGTCATTAGCAACTATCACCTTGCTGACTGAAAGGTTTTCTGTATGTGACACTCATTTGTTGACTTGAGTTACTAGTTACTATAAACTTGATGGCATGGTTTATTAAACAATGAAATGGTATGAACTTCCCACACAAATTTTTATATAATCATTGGGGATGGAAAGGCATAAACATGCCATAAGTTGGAGCTGCTTTAGCTCGATACTGATTATTTTAGCTGACATAGACTTCCACCTACCGTGCATTGAAACTGTTTATATGTGAATTGTGAAATACTACTTGTTTCTCAAATTACATATCTGACTCTTTCAGCTTGATTCTAATAATATTTTTCAATTGACACAATCATTTATCATTATACTGTTATTTTATATTGATCAAACTGAAATAATGTTCTGCATTTGAAAATATTTGAGCTGAGCATGACTGGAGAGTTAGAATTTGAATAATAATTCGTGTATTGATAATGTTTGCATTCTAGATTGGTGACCTAAAAGCTGCATAGTCTAATGAAACATAGTTTTTATTTAATTATTTTTAATTTTGGTGTAGGTGATGGTATTCGATGAAACGACTTAATCAAAAAGGTTCACGTCGTAGATGATGCCAACAACGAAGAAAGGAAAGAAAATTCAAGTATATATTGTGAATATTTCAGATTAAGCTCTTATCATGTATAGTAAATATTTAAGTTTTATTCACCATCATTGTTTGCTCAATCTCATCCAAGTTGGTTTTATATTTATACTTTTATCTCTTTTCTAAGCTTCCAAGGTTAAACGAAAATGCCATTTTAGATGGAAACTTTGTCAATGTTTTAACAGTTTGCCTTGTTATCGAAGAATTTCCCCTCTTTTTATTTTTTTTTGGTTTGTTTTTGTCGTTTGTTATGAGTTTGGAAGTTGGAACCGTTTCTTTTTGCCCCTTAACAAATGACGAGAGGGAGGGATAAAGATGTTTTTTTCCCAATCGATTTGCATGGAATTAATGGGAACAAATGTTGAACTAATGCAATTAGTACATTGCTAATTTTTAAAATCAAGTAAAGTAAATATGAAAATAAAAATGCATGTAAACATATTCTCTTAAACTAGTAAATTTAAACTGATCAACTTATAGGCTTATACATTCAGTTTAATCCATCTTAACACAAGGGATTTTATAACATTTTTGTCGCCATAACAGGCAGAGGGGTTGCATAATTTTCTCAGATTTGTATGCATACTGCAATAGTCAAAAGCAATTGAAGGTAAACTTGAGTTTAAATGTATTTAATTTTGTAAAATTTATTTTGTTTTAAAATGAATTTAAGGTAAGGTGATTTGATATATGTTTGATTTTTTTAATCACACACTAATTCATTGTTAATAAAAGCATCGTCCAAAAAAAGCCATGTCCCGCTACTCGTATTTTTTTCTTTCCTTAGGTACTTCAACGTCATTGGACAACAGAATGAACCTAGCCAAAACTAAAGTGTCAAATGTACCTTGATTTCCTATTTTGTTTTCAGAAAAATTGATAATCAAAATGCGGCAGAAAGATTATGTAGCTTAAAAGCTATTTTTATATTGAATTTAACAAAAACCAAACAATTGAATAATTGTTGGTTGTAGGCTTGTTAGGAAGACTGCAATGTCAATTAAATAGGCGAAGTCATTCGATTTATTATTGCTGCATCTGGTACGCGTGCAGTGACCAGAATGGATAAACTTTGGATAGGACAACTATAGAAGAATTTTGTCTTACATATCAATAGATATTTCACATTCTACAGAGTATGATATAGCACTTGTTATTTCCAAGGTTTCACCGTTTTATTGTTTTATATAGAGGACAAAAGAAACTCAGGAGATGAAATTCAACTCGTAGCAATTTGGAAAGCTCTCAAGAAGACTTCAGGGGGTTGTCCACCGCTCAATTTGTGTATCCCATTAATCTGCCAAATGATTAAATTACTCAATTTGCTTGGTTCTTATCATTATGAATCAGAAAACCAAACGGCGATTTTAATATTGTATACACTTACCACGTAAAATGGAACTCCTGTAATGTTTCCTGAGTATGTTTTGAGCTCCCCCTCAACCTAGTTAGAGTCATGGAAACCAAGATCAGCATTGATGCTATCAAATTCAATTGCTAAGGTGAATGTGATTGTCTAACACACTAGTCCGAGTTTGGAAACACATTGAAAAACCAATTAATGTAGATCCATTGCAGAAGTTACAATTAGTAGCATTGAAGTGAACACGAATTTATCTCCATTAAGCGTGAATCCAAACATAATTAAAAATGATCATGCTCCCATTTTGACATCGAAATGAAGAAAATACATTAAGAATTTTGAAGTTAGAACTTAGAATGCCTACTGATTCAAATATGATACAAATAAAATAAAGCATATTTTAGGCATCTTTTGAATTTAAATACAATGTAGAGGAGTTTGCTTATAAAAACAATTACCTCCTTCAATCCATTGTTGGGGTCCTTAAGAAACTCTTCTGCCCCTTCTATACCAACCTTTGCAGCAGATTCCACAAGAAACTTACTGCATCCAAATTGAAAATGATAATGTTTATCAGTTTATGAACCAGATATGAAGACATTTCGTACATATGTCCTGCAATATCAGCTAAATCCTACCACAAATGATCACCCTGAAATCCCATTTTCTATGGCCCAATTTAGTTCATATTGAACATTCAATTCCACTTTATTAGTATTTGGATTTGTTATATATTGTACATAAACCTTAATATTTAAATGAACCTCCATTGAAGAAATCAGCTTGCAGTTTTAATATTCCACAAGAAGTGTATAAAAATAAGATATTCAACCACACAGAAATGAAAAAAAAAAAGTAACATGTCAAGTGAGTATTCATAGTCATTGATCTGTCAAAAAGCAAAACAATTCATCTACAAAAATCCATACAGATGAACATCCCTTCCAAGGCCTTAATTGAGAAAACAACCATAAAGATCACTTACTGGTCACCAATGAATTTTCCCTGTGTGAAATAGCCAATGTTAAGTTCTTCAACTAGATCATGTTGCTTGTCAAGACCCTGCTGTCTAGAAAAATATATAAGCCTATGACTGTCAATAGTGTTTCCCCTGTGGATAATTAAAACAATGTTAGTTGAACCTCGGACAACTTTTTTTCAGAACACAACACTTCTAAATTGGTTTATACAAGTTTGTCCATTGATGAATTGTAAAACCACTCTCAATCTTACGTGAGTCCAGCCAAACTATACTCCAAACCAACACTCTTGAAGATCTGCCAAATACCAAAGCGACGTAAAAATGAATTGCTCAAAATTCATTGTTGGGATGAAACATACACAGTACAACCAATGATAACACAGAACGATCAACAAAATAAAAACCTCAGACATCCTAGCTGCCATGCTTTCAGATTGGGATCCAAACTTGCTTCTGTAAAACTCTCTTTTGTCAACGCCTTCTTTCGGTGCATCCGGGGTAAGTTGAAAGGGGTGCCATATTATCTGTAATTCCAGTTAAACAGAAAATTAACACAAGAAATGTCACACATATTTTGGTCCAAGATACACACACAAACACATAGAGAGAGGAAGAAAGAGTATTAGACCTCAAAGTCGTATTTATCCTTGGATGCAGCAATGGCCTTATCTAGATTTCTTTTGCCAACACAGCACCATGGACATACAGTATCAGAACTAACATCAATTCGTACGTGTTTCTTTTCAGAAGGGGTGCTGTTAGACGCACTCATGATCCTGCTGTATCTGCAATATCTCTACAACATGTAAAATATCACGAATGTATGCAATGACAAGAAGAAAGAATAATCTATGTGCATGATTGGTTTAGCTTATTTTGAGAAAATAATTACTTATTTTTGACAACTTTGTGAAAGAGCTTCTGAACAATAAGCCATTATTTTCTAATAAAAAAACCTAATCCAAACATGCATGTGACCTTTTATTTTTAAGAAACAAAAAATACACTCATCAGTCATATCTCCTCCCAATAATGTCCCTAGAAAGTTCTATTGTTTTTTGGGAATGATGACCCCAAATTTCAAACAGATAAACTATTGTTCAAAAATTAAAGCTGAACTAATGAAGGTGAGACCTTTCCAAAATCCCTTCTCTGTAATTTGATTGGATGAAAAATCAAGACAATAAAATCTACATCTTTGTAGAACAAGTTATCAAATTGCATAAAGGTAAATACAGTACAAACAAAACAAGATGCTGGAAATATCAGAAACTTTTGCCCAAACGAATCTCGTGATCAGATTCAGAAACAACCCAACAACAACTTAAAAAAAATATTGAAACGGAAAACAAAACAGCAAAGTCTGAGCCAGAATAACACACAATCAAGGGAAAAGTGAGCATAATTAAGAACCAATTTGCATTGAGGAAAGTAAAGTGAGAAGAATACCCGGAAGGGTAAAGAGAGGGAAGAGGCACTACAATTCAAAAGCTTTGCCAGCACTCAAAGGAATTGCAATTGGAGATGTTTGACATTGATCAGAGATTAAGCTTAGAAGATGAACGATAAACGTGTCTTTTTATTATTATTATTTATTTTATTCAAATTTTTCATGTTCTTTTCCGAACTTGCAGGAAAGTCGTCGTTTGATGTTGTTCGTTCAGACCCAACTACCCCCACCAATAAATAAAAATTTTAGTCATTAAATAAAAATATTAAATGTCTTAAATAAATCTAATCATGTTTCTTTATATTTATAAATATTTTTTATTTAATATAAAATTAGTAAAAAATTACAATAATACAGTAGTAACAATTTGTTCTTACTTTCTACACATCAATAATAGCTTATAAAGAAAACGACGCAAGAACCCAACACACAATAATATGGATTGTGTATAGTCGTAAAATCTAAGCTGGTTTGGCTTATCAAATCAAACTTTTGATTTTGTTTTGTTTTTAGTCTGTGTGGAATTCTTGTATTTTTTAAGAAAAATATTTCACAAACTTATATTCTTGAAAGTTTAATATTTTAAGTTACTATTATTATTTGTTTTATTTTAATTATATTTTTAATATTTTGCATGTGAAGGGACAATAATTCAAAGTAAGTAAAATTATAGATTAGGAAAGCACTAAGCATATTTAATAAGTGCTAATTACAAGACTAGGGAGTTTAAATGGAATAAGAATCGAGAAAACAAACAAATATACTCTCACAGACACACACACACACACTTTATTAATGTTTGTAATTATAGAAAGTTTTCGTGACGACAAATAGTTATAATTATGAAATGAATATATTTTTCTTTCAATTAAAACTTTTAAATTTTAAAATACTTAAAAAAATCTAAAATAAAAAATTAATTATTAAACTATTACAGGAAGCAATCTTACTTTCTAAGCATGCAAAATACCACACTACAATATAATTCTGTGAAAGTTGAATCTTCCATGGGATGTGGTTGGATGAAAAAAAAATTTACTTTAAATAAATAAATATTTTTAATTCTATACATCAGAATTTGTTTCATCTTGCATATATACACCTATAATTTGACCTTTACATGCATGCAATTATTTTCAACTTCATTTTTCATTATTATATAATTGTGATATTGACATAAAAATATAAATTATCGACAAAACACAATACAACATATAATTAATATCTTAAATATATAAATTAAAACTTCAATAGTTAGCATGTAAAATATATTTTGTTGAAGTTTATTTATAAACGATTGTTTTACTTTATGTAAATAAAATTTTACATATAATAATTTTTTTATTAAAAATGGATGTATAAAAGGAGTTATGTAGTCTAGAAAATTCCGAAGTTGAGAGGGTGTTTAAGAAAGCAATAGATACCCGCCCCTGCCTCTGAGTCCACCACTTGTGTCTCCGTTTACCATTTTCCATTCTTTTCCCTTCTCATTCTCACTCATTCCTTTTCGGGTATGTATGTTACCCTTCTTTCTCTCTGCTTCGTTCGTTCATTCAACCATCACATTTCCAATTAATTAATTCTCAATCTTACTCCGCACCTTTTTTTCCATTTCCCAATGTTTCAACTTTCTTTCTTGTAAATGTTATCTTTTTAGCTCCTTTCTAATTTTTCTATTAATTACGATATTTCATTAGGAAAGAGTCAATTTTGCTGCTGTCTTTGTTTTTTCCATTTCCAGTCCAATTTTATGGAAAGCAGGATTATGTAAAGAGCAGAGTCAAAATTGGGTTTCATTCTTTGTATTGGTTTAATTAGACATTGAAGTGTTCTTGTGGGGTTTCATTTTTTCATTACCCTTTGTTTCCATGTATTAGTACTTCTTGTTGTTTGTTATTCTTGTTGTTGTTGTTGTTGTTCTTGTGTATCATTGGTTGCAATCTACAAATTGCAGTTATTGGTCTTTGCATCTTAAGGTGAAGAAACTAAAAACAGTATGGATATTGATGCGATTTTGGGGACAATTCGACCTGTGAGTGTGGCAAGGAAAAGTGCCATTTATGTGTGGGGGTACAATCAATCAGGGCAGACAGGGAGAAAGGGGAAAGAGGATCAATTGAGGATTCCAAAACAGCTTCCTCCTGAGCTGTTTGGAAGTCCAGCAGGCATCAATGCGCGCTGGTTCGATGTTGCCTGTGGTCGGGAACATACGGCAGCAACAGCCTCTGATGGCTCACTCTTTACTTGGGGTTTGCACTTTTTACTCATTGTTCATGCATTCATCCAATTACTGTATTGTATAGTGTTGGAACTGTTATTCCCATGATTGTAATTCCGAACTTGTGTTATTTATTAGGTACTAAAAGGGATATCAAATAAATAAAGGATTTTGCTAATCAGTGCCCTTAGTAGATTGATTAAAGAATCTTGTTTTGGGGATGCATAGGAAATCACAGTGGAAGTGCATTAATAACACTTTTTAATAAAAATTTCCACTTTAGCATTTGCCACAAATAAATTCATTGTGAATTATTTGTACCTTCCCTCCCTAGATCCTGCAAGGGCATAAGGGTAGCTCTGCCATGAACGATTCCTATGTGATCCGCACGAGGAAGCTAGGGAGGGAGAGGGGGCAAAAGAGATGTTCCAAGCATGTGAGCTAGGTTCATGAGACGTCCCTTCCCAAGTTTAAATGTACACTTTCATTCCTGTGTTCAGAAGTCCCTAATACCTCCTTTTTTTGTTATATATAATAAACACGATTGCCAATTGACATATATTTGTTAATGAGAGAGTAAAAACTGCCAAGTTATTCCAATTTGTTAATGCAAACAGTTACCCATGAGGCTTTCTGTTATGTGAAAACTCAAACCTTGGGTTGTTTTTTTTGTTAGTTTTAAAAATAGAAGAACCATAAGTGTAGGTTTAAATTTGGGAGGGAGACACATTCTCCCTGATAGTGCTAGCAGGAACTGGCTTCAGCATTCTAGGACAAACATCTAACCTTTTGATACACTTAAAATATGGGACATGGTTTGTGTAAGCATGACCATGTTTGCTCTGCAATTCTTTTCCTTGTTACAAATTGGAATTAATTTCATATGATAATTTATTAATAATTAATAATAGGAGACAATTTGCATATGAATGTATTAACTTTAGAGGATTTTTTTTGTCTTTTTAATGTAGAATTCCAATTGTTTGTTATTATTAATAGCTCATATTCAAGTTGTTAGGAAACATAATTGTGCTAAGTATCTAAGACTCGTGCACATACCCAATATCCTAGGGGCTAATGACTTTGGTCAATTGGGTGATGGAACTGAGGAACGAAGGAAACATCCAAAAAAAGTAAAGCAATTAGAGTCAGAATTTGTAAAATCTGTATCCTGTGGAGCACAGTGTTCTGCTTGCATTGCAGAACCTCGTGAAAATGATGGTACCGTCTCCACTAGAAGGCTATGGGTGTGGGGGCAAAATCAGGTAATACCTTTCAGAGAGTTAAAACAATGTTCTTAATATGTCATAAACTTTCCTTCACCTGTTTCTTCTTCAATTTATTGTTTATTTTCCAGGGATCGAATCTCCCTAGGTTGTTTTGGGGGGCCTTCAAACCTAATACAGTAAGTATATATGTTTGAGCACATACTGAATTACTGTCTTGATTTATCTTACATCTCAACTTAGTGTAACATGCTTAATGTCTTTTTTCCACTATGAATAAAATCTATTCCTTTGGTCCATGCAATTGTTTCTGTATATTTGTTTCATAATGTTTCTTTTTGCCTGATTTCTTGTTTGTAGCCTTGCTGCTTAGGTTTATGATATATGAATCAATCCATTCTTCTGAAGTTTAATTTCATTTATTAAATGCAAAGTAGTAGTATAGCTTCTCTTCCTTTTTTTTTCTCAGGGGGGTAGAATTCTAAAATGGTAGAATAGGATTCTTTTACACTGTCTGTTTTTGCTTACGTTCTGTTTTCCCTTCATTCATATGATCACACTTGCAGATTATTCATGAAGTGTCTTGTGGAGCTGTTCATGTGGTTGCTTTGTCTGAGGAAGGCTTACTACAAGCTTGGGGTAATTCAGTTATTGCCTTCTTTATGTATTGTTTTCTTTTTAAATATATTATTTACATATGATTTGCAAATTTTATGTCAGTGATTGCCTTCATGGATTGAAATGGTTGGAGGCTTATAAATTTGCAGAGTATTGAATGTAGGAAAGTAAACTTGAGTGATTACAAAGTGGGTTTCTTGCCACCTACTAATAAGGGTTTTCTCACTGTTTTCTTAAATCAGGCTACAATGAATATGGTCAACTTGGCCGAGGGGTTACTTGTGAAGGACTACAGGGGGCTCGGATTATAAGTTCTTATGCTAAGTTCCTTGATGAAGCCCCCGAGCTTGTGAAGATTACCAAAGTGTCATGCGGGGAGTACCACACAGCAGCCATTTCTGATAAGTGCGAGGTGTAAGTGATTTGAAGGACTTTCTAGATGGAGATAGTTATAAATTTAAGCATGAGAAATGTGGTTTTCCGCATGACACATTAGGGAATCTCACATCAGGAGACAAGATGCAATGGAAATGCTGCATCTATTATGCAAGTTTCTATTCCCTTGGCTTGGTTATACTATAAAAAACATTAGTTGACTGTAGTTATACATACCTGGAGCCAACTGTGTTATAGTTTATTTTAAGTGTCGTCCCAAGTTTTATCGAGGTTTTGTTTGAAAATGTTTGTAGCAAGGTCTGTCATTCCATTGACCTGCAATTTTTTGCTAAGATTCTTTTAATGGGCATAACTTCATTGCAGAATGATGCTTATATGAATATGATCATTATACTTGTTACATAATTGTTGAAATCTTTGAGCTTAACATTTGTGCATGCATCATAATTCCTAAATAGTTATAGTTTGTTTCAGTGATACCCCCACCCTGAAGTAGCTATTTTGTGTTAGTAATAGTCATACAAAAGAATATACACATGTTATGGGAGTGGAGTTTAATATTTTGTTTTATTTGGGACATATTGACCTCAAGCTTCTTCCCTTTTTGACTAATTTAAAGGCAAAACCAAATGTTCTGACCACTTTTGAAACAAATCAACAAAGATCTTTTGATCTTGACATGCTTGGGACCTCATTTTGTCTTTTGAACCATGTAATTTACAACTTTTTAGGGTGTTATCGTATGCCTTTACCTCCAAATCATGACCTTGGCGAGGACTGTTGCTTAATTTACATCTGTTCTTCAGAACTGTATAATTGTGACCATTATTTGAATGTTTAATGGGGGTTTGTTTTTCTTTATTGATCATGCTCCTTCCAATCTTCACATCAGCAATAGTAAACCTAGGAATTTAATTAGGATGGTTATGTGGTTGGGAGGTAGGGGGGTGGTTTTAAATGCAAGATGTGTTCTATTCTAAATATATATAAATTTTCTTTTGCATTCCAATTTTATATCGGTAAAATTTTCCCTGATGGAATTTTTTAAGACTTAGGTTCTTTTCTTTCCCTTCTCATCTCTTCTAGTTGGTATATGTTATAATCACAGAAGATCATCAATCTTCAATAAGTTCCTTTGGTCATTTGATACATGGATTTTGTTCTGGTTGTATATATAATTGGGGATTCATAGGCAGTATTGTCAATTGTTAGTTATTAAATTTAGCTGCTTGTGGATAATACTTCATCACTTGTTATATTTCCTTGAATTTTGCAGTTACACTTGGGGGTTGGGAAGTATGGGCCAGCTTGGGCATTCTTCACTCCAGTATGGGGAGAAAGAGTTAATCCCAAGGAGGGTGGTTACCCTTGATGGTATTGTCATAAAAGACGTGGCGTGCGGTGGTGTACACACATGTGCTGTAACTCAGGGAGGAGCACTTTATGCTTGGGGTGGCGGTCAGTCTGGGCAGCTAGGTCTTGGCCCCCAAACTGGATTGTTTTCATGTGTTGCGAATGACTCTCAGACATTTTTCCGAAACATTCCAGTTTTAGTTGTTCCCAAAGGTGTGCAACTTGTTGCATGTGGACATTCTCACACTCTTATCTCTATGAGTGATGGTCGAATACATGGTTGGGGTTACAATAGTTATGGCCAGGCAGCCAATGAGAAATCTACATATGCTTGGTATCCATCACCGGTTGACTGGTATGTATTTGTAGCTCAAGTAACTTCTTCATGATTGCATAAGTTTTCATGTTAACATTTCTAAATTGCAGGTGTGTTGGTGAGGTTCGGAAACTAGCTGCTGGTGGTGGTCATTCAGCTGTGTTAACTGATGCTTGTTCGTTAAAGGAATTATGTGAGTTTGTGCTTGCAGATAGTATGACTTTATCTAATGCTGCTAAGGTTGAGGATGTTGCATATAGAACTGGATCAGATGCTTTAGCACGCCTCTGCGGAAGACTCAGGTATTATGCGGCATAGGTTTGATTTTTATATAAACTGCAACTCAATTAGAGTGTCATTAATTTTATTGGGATGTGGAAAAGATGAGTAGTGTCAACATTCTATAATTAATTGGCAAAAGGGAAAACAATAGGTGTTCGTGGAAGAGCCTAAAAGTTGATGGTGGGCATATTTCTTGCATTGAGTTGAGGCTTCTAATCAATGTTTTTAAAACATTCTTTTATTTATTTTTTTATTTTTGTTGCACTGTTACGATGAAACCTACCTTTCGTTTATGTATCTTTCATATTTTTTGCTTGTCTTCTCAATTGAATCAAATGCTAATGTTATGGCAACAAATTCATGGCAGAGAGTATATGCTTGCTGGTGGAGCTCTTGATCAAAAGGAAGAAATGAACAGTAAAATTTGACGAAGCATATAAAGTTAGCATCAGTAATTGTTTATGTATATTCATTTAATTTAATACATGTATTCATAACTGGAACGCCATTATTATTTGAATAAAAGCAATCATATGCTGTAGACTCGAAAGCAATCACTTATTAAATAGACAATGAATTTGTCCCTATTGAATCAACTGATAGCAAACTCATGTAAAGGGAATATTCCAAACTTCCTGAATGAACATTAATTAGCTTCTCTTATACATAGCTACTGTAGATCAGTTCCTACTTTTATCTTCTACTAATCTGAGTAATTACAGCTTTTTAAAGTACAATAATACAACTATCAATTTTAAGCTTTCTGTAACCAAAATTCCATCCTCGAACATCATATCAGTGGCCTTTGATCTATCGGATCAGACTTTCTGGTGGGATTTAACTAATTTCGATTAATTTAATATAATAATTTAAAATCATCTAATTCAACAGAGAATAGTAAATCTTAATGAGGGAAACAAATACTGCAATATGATCAAGGAGTTTTTTCAAAGGTATCTTTTTTATCCAGTAATTTCCCTTTTGTATTTATTTTCATTATGGTTAGAGGTTTTACTTACGAGAGAAAATTGATCAATACGAAAAAAATCTTGCCGCTTGGATCCTATGTTAAACCTTTTCAAATTCGATTGAATCATTGATTTGTCCCAATTAAAAATTAAACTTTATAACTGCCCTTTTAACCCGCAGAAAAAAGGATAAGCATTATGGGGAAAACTCCCGGGTACCCATCAAGTAACATCTATTTCTGTGGGCTAACTGTTTTCTTTGGAGATTTCTAATTTAACTTCCACGGACCATAAACCATTTGTTGATATAACTGCTTAATAGCGGATATTGCATTTCTATATATTTCAAAATGAAGGGCATAGCCCATGCAAGAAGTTTGAGCAGTCATTAAGCCCAGGAGATAGCTATTCTAACATATATAGTTGAGCCTTAACGTTTATCATATGTCACATACTTGACAGAATTATTTCAGCCAATTTAGTCATATATGTAGCATCCATGGTGGGATGATAGCATTGCCACTAGGAGCTGTTTGAGCTTCACCTGTTTCTTCCAGAGATACTCTTCCTTGTAAAGTCCCACTGCATCATTTTCACACTTTTGTCATGTCAACCAATCTGGTACGTCAAACGCTTTTTATTGCTTAGGTTGACATTATGGTATCCCTTTATTGTTTCAACTATATTTTTCATGAAAAATGATTTTTTTTTTGGTACATGTTAAAAGTGGGATATTTTCCCGGTGTTCCTTTTAATTTTGAGGAGTATTTTTTGAGATGAGTGTATAAAAAAAATTAAAAAAGAAAGATAATTATATACAATATAGCGTAGGGTCTGAATTCTTAATGTTTAAAAACAAAAACTGATTTTTCATCATCTATAGCTAGAATCTACATTCTAGGGTTTGAAAAAGAAAGATGTTCTTTCACTATAATAATACCTGCTTGGAAGAGAGAAGCAAGATAACAAGTACCTGAGAGTTAGAGATGGAACAAGTCTTTGTGATGGTAGTAGCTCTGGAGAAGATAAATTGAGGGTGGCTGCACTTTGGCCTAGGGTTTCTGGGCAGCTGTGTGGACGTTCGGTCTGTGTCTTCACTTTCTCCTTCATCTAGTCATAAATGTAATAAAAGAAAGATTATTATTCCATTTTTGTCTGTAATATTTAGATTGAAATGTTGGGTAGAGGAATATATGGCTTCTACCTTTGCTAACTTGCTGTTTTGCTCTTGCAATGTCCTAGCCTGTTAGGTCATCCACAACAAAATATTCATCTTTGTAAATCCCAAATGTTTATATGCAGAATCCTTCTACCATTCATAACAACGCTAATTTCACTTCACAAGCAGAAATTTAATTTAATAGACTCTACTAACTAAAAAATTAAAGAAATAAATAAGAATATTCCAGAAACAATGACTACATTCAAGATTACTTCATGTAATGTCATTATATTTGCTTCTTTCTGAGGGACACACAAATTATATTAGTTTTTTTTTATCTATTCTACTTTTCTTTAACGTTTCCTTATCAATGCACATGAAATCCAGTTTCAAACCTGAGTATCATAGACATTCTGTTATTTGAGAATTTTAGTGTGTTATTGAATGTCCTTTATTAATTAGCATCTCATTTCACAACCCATGCAATCTAGTCAATGTTCAATATCACTCTCAATGCAAAACACATCTTACCCTTTTGTGCAGCTCTGAGATGGATTGATTCATAACTTGGTTCTGCAAAAATCAACTTGATCAGACGTCAGTTGAAGATTGGAAAAACATGTTATTTGCTTCAATCTTTAATTTAAATATTACATTTATTCTCTTTTATCGTTTTTATCTTTTGTAAATTAAATAAGCACTCTTCAGTCTTCACCTTTCTTGTTCGGATGCGCTTCAGAGATGTGTCAAGTTGCTGCTCCAAACTCTGAAGCTCTTTGAGAGTCAAGGGATCCAAGTCATTTCCCAAGAAGTTCCTATATTGAATATCATATAATCACGTAAATGCCATTTGACAAAGATTGATGTTATTTCTATACTTTTTACAGTAAAGGGAGAAATAAAGCAATTGATGTGATAAAATATAATATAAACGTATAAAAATTGTGAACAGAAATAACTACTGTTTGACACCAATGAGTTGTGCCCATAAAAAGTTAAAAAGCAAAAACAAAAAGCAGCTTTAACAAATAGATTTGGTATCATTTTCTTTTGTTAGCATTTCATTTATTTGGTTTTGAAAATCGAAACAATCTTTGGAAAAAAAAAAGTTTATTACTTTCAAATGTGGTTCGTCGCAAAAAAATGAAGAAAGCAAAAGGGTGGCCAGATTCATCGAGTGTGTGGGATCGTGTGTCATGGACATGGAGAAATTTTAAAAGATCCTCCAACTGAAAGTAGTTGTGCATCTTACTATAAATCTAAACAAAGTACCTTACGTTCCTCTCTATGACTTCAACTTTAGCGGTGAGCTTGATATATTCGAAAGACCAGTTACCCTACAATATCAAATGATCTTCAATTACTACTGATGTGACTTACGTGGAAAGAAGATTCATAGTCACTTTCATTTATATGTACGACAAGGGAACTTCGCTAAATGGTGGTGTTCTCAGTTTTCTTATTTTTATCATAGTTGGGTACCACTACCCTGATTACTGTCAAGTATGGAACTAGGAGTTGACTATAACTTATATATATATAAATTATTGTCACACTCTTGAAATTTAAGGCTATTACACTATTTTTTTTAATAATTTTTTGCCTTACGTCACACCTTCTGTAAATATAAGAATTCAAAAAAACTAAGTGTTAACTACCTTCTCTTAATATAAGAATTTACGAGAGGTTAGTGTTGATGGAAAAATAGGAGTGCTAATATCGAACTCTTAACACATGCACTGCTTTAAATATATTCTTTTATTATATCATGAATTTATTAAAAATTTTAAAAAATTATGTAAGTCTTATTAATAATTTTTAATAAATTTAATTTAATACCTAAAAGTGTCTTAAAAAATGCGTGTTATAGAGTATCATTAGCATTTTTATATAAAATAAAGATCATACTATGTTGTCATGTAAATTGAAAGATGTTGCCAAAAATTCTTGAACCTAAAACCATGTAGAATCTAGTATCTCACAGCTAAAAACCTTTTATACTAGTATATTGACCTCACAATTATGGTTCCTACCATAATTTTCAATTGTGGTTGCATTGTAATTAGAATTTTTTGTTTGAAGAAAATGTAGCTGATGCCGCTGCAATTTCGGTTTCAAAGGTTAACATAATAGTATTAGTAACTGTACCACAATATCTTTGTCTAATTTTTTCCTCTCTCTACATGAAAATGCCTTTTAGAGAGGAATTATGTGAAGTTGATTAAATCTTTTTTTTTTGTTTATTACAATGCAGGATTTTAAACATGTATTTAGTTGTTATATGGAGATTGTAGTTATTATTCCCTTATTGTCCTCATCATAAGAGTTTTGCTAATCAGTGGTAAAACTTTTTAATTATATCTTTCGAGCATTTACAATACCTCTCTAGCTTTGATATAACATTTTTACCTCTCTTTTTATCACATTCCTTCTTGAATTAATATGCATAGCCTGCATGCGAATTGCATAAACCTATAGTTTCTGCAGTACCCCTACCACCTCCCTATGAGCGCAATGTAAATGTATATATGAAGGAAGAAAACATATATAGAAGGATAAATAGCTACGTAGTGACTTAAGTATTAGGAAACTGGTTATAGTTTGTCAATGGAAATTATTCATCAAAGAACATTTGGTACCTGTGGTTCATTGTTAGCTTCACCAAGTTCTGTATGGGTATGTCTCTCATACCGTTCCAGGATGTCTTCCATGCTGTTCCACAAGTCAAAGTGAAAAAAAATAATAAACAAATAGAATAACTTAAGTACTAGTACGGTGGGTCACGTCCATGGTGGGTATGAAAGGAGTAAAAGAAATTGAGAGTTAGGAAGAAGAATAAATAAATAAAAATACGATAAATAATAATAATAATAATAATAATAAAAGATAAAATAAAAGAGTAGACGTGAGAAGAATCTAAGAGAAAAATGAAAAAAAAAAAGTTGTTTTCAAACATAAAAGGTGAAGACCCATGAATTCTCGGAGATTCTCATGGTACTTGCCAAACTTTGCTACAAATAGTTGTAGTATTTGAACTTATAGCTACGAATCTATGAAGATTCTAACGATGAGGTTTGTTACAGGTTTTTTAATTTCTGCCCCAAAATTGAGGTTTTCCCACACCTCTGCACAAAACTAATAAAATAAAAGTACAAACCAAACGGATTATAAATTCCGATAGGAATATTCCTATCCAAACTAATTATGATAAAATCTCAAATTAATAAATTAAAAAAATATCAAATTATAAACTGATTAACAATAAAAATTATGATTACTTAATCAGAATTTCTCTGATAAAAACCATCAGCATATAAGGTAGGCAAGTTTACTATAGATACTAACTCCATGCTGCCTTGATCAGCAAACACCAATGATATGACTATCATACCTTAGATATCACTCTATTTGTAATATGAAAGGAAGCATTAAGTATTAACTTGCAGGTTATCTTAGAAAAGACAAGACACAACTGATAAGAAACACGGAGGAATGTTACTATTCACTGCAAGTAAATAAAAATGTATGTATGCCAAGCATCTGAAGGATATCTTAAACACAAATTTCTACATACCACAAACCACTTTTAATTGCAAGTTATATGAGGTGGAGTGTCACTACGTTTTAACTTCCTTACTTTTTTAATGTCATGAGAAGTGGATTTTGTGTTCATGACGTGAATAGATTTTCAAATGTCATTAATTTTTGTTTGAAGATTTCTGTAAACTTAATTGTGTTCAGCATATTTCTATTTTTTAAAATATTAATTTTATATGTTAATTTTAATTTGAATAAATACCTATTTTATTCTCTTAAATTGCGATCATGTTAATACTTAATTTTACAAAAAAAAACTCAGAAATATATATATATATATATATATATATATATATATGGTAATAATTAGAGCCTAAGATGGAGAATCCTGCCTAGTGTTAATGGAGATAACACGGTGCAACTAGATTTACTCTAGGAAAAGAATTTGCTAACTCAGATTCCAATATAAGTATCACAACTAAGTGACCAAACTATATGGCAAAAGCAAGTCTAATCAGCTCCTAAAGTTATTTTAAAAAAATAATTTGAGAATTTATTAGTAAATATATGGTTATGATTTTGTCAGAAATATTTTTTCAATGGGAACCTATAGCAATTTTCAAACAAAAGGGTATATATGACACTTACAAGTTCCAAAGAAACTATAAATCATTTTAGCTATTGAACACGGAATATAAGATAAGACAAGATTTTCTTACCAGCTTTAGGCATTATTCTTTTAATTAAAATTAGATTTTTTAAAATAGTTTTTTTCCATCCGATTTAATTCAAATTCAATTCAGGTTGTGCACGTAAATACGATAGGTGAGTATACTACGTAAAATTTTTTGTACATATAAATTCTTAAACCTGAGATTTTTTTAATAATTTACTTTATAAGTATAGACATTTGAAATTAATATAAAATATCAAAATAAATGTTTGGTTTTAATAATAAATAAGATAAAAAAAACCCTTAAGATATCGTACTTAAATTTTATTTAATAAAATAATACAGAATATTACATTGCTAAAATTTATACTAATTCAGAAAAGTGTAGTCACGTGAGTTTTATAATCGAACTCCAGCACCCCAGAAGTAAAAGTACTAAAAGAATACTGTTGAACGACCTAGATACGAATTATTTATCATAAAAAATATTAACAACAAACTCTCCCCTATTAGGTGAATATTATCTATATACCCCAAAATCTTAAATTATTAAGTAAAACTATACAAGTAATTTTATATCATATCTCTAATATATTCCTTTATGCAAGAGTCCTATTGTAGCATGGATAATTTGCTAGCTCACTTGGCTTGTGTTAAAATTCAACAAACCGAAACAACAAGAATCAAACTCTAAATCGTTTGATATTCTATCTCAAAAGCTTATGCTGTTATTAGTTGAAGACACATGAATAATTTTATACTTACAATTATTAGTTCATAAAAATTATAGAAATTATAAAATGTTAAAAAGTTTTGTGCATGGTTAAAGCTTTCGTTTATGCTCAAAAAAGCTTTCAATCGAGGGAAATGGTGACACACAGATGAGGTGGAAATGTTGAAAAATTAATTAGGTCTTTGAAGTCTCGCATCAGTTAAAAATAAACATAAAGATAATATAAGAGCTAAGATTCCTATCCTTTAGGAAATTAATGCCATGTTCTTTCATATGGCCAGTAACTTGGCCTCTTGATGTAGGGTTTGACATTCCAAAGGAAAAGGAATTGAACTTGTTTTTGTAAACAAATAATTATTCAAAATATTTTAAACAATTTTTCTTTATTAAATAAAAATTTAAGAGTTAGTTATGCCCAACCAATCTAATAAAAAAGTTAACTTAAATATTTCTTCATTTCTCTTCATACAAACTCTTTCATCTAAAGATAAAAACATTATCTTTTTAGAATAGTTATATTTATTAATATAATAAATATTTATTATTTTATTATAACAATAATTTTATTAATTAAATTTATTAATCTTAAAAATTTAATAATATAATATATCTTTAATTTATATTTAAAAATCATTTTAATTTAATAATATCTTTGTAATATACCAAAAATAATTATTACTACAAATAATAAATAACTTTATAGTTAAAGTGATATATATTACAATCAAATTAAATAACAATAAATTTAAGTTCAAATGTTCAACAATGAACATAGAATTCATAAATTAAAAATATTTATATTACAGAAATTTATTCAAATATATTTTATTGATGTATGATATTAAATAATTTCAATTTTGGAATTTTTTTGTGGAATTAAATTAAAATAATATTTATTCAATAATATAAGATTATGCGTATTTAACTTCAATATCTATGGTTTGAATCTCAAATTGAGTTTTTCTTAGAGAGCAGTGAGGGATAAGATATTATTGTTTTTTTTTTTTATTAATAAGTTAGCAGAGATATTTGATAATTATAAAATAAAAAAATAAATTTCTGAAAAATTATTTAAATAAAGTTCAATTTATAACTATCAATATTTTTATTTTCTTAAACAAATTATATATAAATACATAATATAAATTACTCTTTCCTTATTAAATTCTGTTATTATATTTTTTTAATAATTAATAAATTGGAACTAATTTTACTAAATAATTTTACTTCAATCCGTTACTTATAAATTATAATTTTTTTGAATTTATTTTTATCAAATAATACAAACTTAAATTTAACAGCTAAAAAATATAGTTCGGTTTTCAATGATTGTAGTAATTCAAGGATAATGATCAAGATGTTGGCTTATAGGTCTGATGAATTTCTCCATTAGTCCAATTCACGGTTGAATCAATCAGATCATTCAATCAAGTACAGTTCTTATTAGTGCTCTTAACTCACATTAAAATAATGTCTTATATCCTCGGAGTGAAATAAAAGATTAACAGCTTCAGTATAGGTCTTGGAAAAAAGGAAGTTAATCCCAGTTGATATGAGGTAGACTAAACACTCTAATCGTTCATACATCTTTATTCAACAGCAGAAACAAAAGGCAAATTAGGAACTTTAAGCTAATATCAATCATTGTTTGGTATTAATGTTTGATATTACTTGTTTTAATTAAAAAAAATTATTTTCACAAAAAATAGATCAGCAAATCTTTGATTAATATAAAATGCACATATAAAATGTTTTCACAAGTTTTAGAGATTGAAATATAGGCTTCGCCAAGCAAGTTATTCTGCATAACTCATCCAAGGGTTTTCATATCCGATATCCCTAATGCGTTTCAAATTAGGTTAGAAAAGTTTTCTCCACTAATCCTTAATTAAATGGATTTCACACAATTATTTTTGTCTCGTCTTAGATTGTGTTTACAGCAAATGGTAGAATGTTGCTTCTCAAGACAATTTTTATTGAAGCCAAAGTTTATCCCTTTCAGCAAAAATGTATTCGGAGGCAAGAGTTGCGAAATTGCGGTGGCAACCAACAAATCTTAGACAAATACTAAGTAATATCCTTAAAATGCTGAAAAGGAATCGTATTAATTTGTAAAATTGTAAATACTGTAAGGCTGTGAATATAGCACACATAAACCATAGTCACAATTAAATCCACGGTCACAATGTATCCAAATATTTTTCTAATTCAACGTGTATAGAAAATTTGATAATTTTTTAATGTAAGATAAAAGTTTAGAATAAGTCATGGAACTAAACACCAAAAATAGGTAAAAGATAAGAACATCCCAAAACTTAAGTGTGGCGTAACCCAAATCTAAATCTCCCAAATATTAATTATACAAGTCATTCTAAAGAAACTCCTAGAAGGTCAAAACTTTCATCACACAAGAAAACACTCACTATACATACAAGTCACCTCTCTTAGTCTATGAAATGAGCAAAATATTTTTGAGTTCTTAATTTTTAAATAAATCAACATTTGAACGTTAGAGACTAAAAAATTTGGATTAGTGACAAACTATATTATCAAGATTGTTAATTCATTATTTTGATATTTGAAGTAAAATAAAATTAATAATAAGATATTAAATCAACAAACAGTTTTAAAGATCTAACGAGTAACGACTAATTAATCCTGAAAAAAGAATCAAGTGGTGGGAAAAACAATCCTTCAGTGCATTTTTAGAGAGTGGCAATGATTAGACATGCTAAAGAGATAATTCAATTAACCTTTATTTAGAATGCCTTCCACTCTAGAATTGCAACAAGAATTAAAATATGCACATCTAGTACAATACACTATGCAAATTGTACTATTTTCGAATAAATTAATATCTACATTCATCGTAATTCAATTATATAATAATTAAGCAAAAGCTATCCATTTCATTTCAGTGTTTTGTTTTCGGGATTTGAGAAGTAAGAAAGAAGAAAAGAAAAGCAATAAGTTGTTTTCTGTTTGTTTTTGTATTTAATTTAAAGGATCGGATTGCGTGGGAATTTTATATCTATCATGGAACTTGAGGAAAAAAAAATCCATTATATTAAATATTATTAACGTACTTCTCTATAATATGACACTTTCTTTTTTCTTTCATATATTATATCTATCATAAAAAAAAAAAAAGACAGGGACACCATAAAGTGCTCCTCAAGAGTCTCCAAACAAAATATTTAAAAAATATTTCCCAAAAAAAATCATCTAACTCAAAGTGATTATTGATCTCTCGGATAGAATCAATTGTATCTCTCTGGTCATGATTATCTTCCAACCATAAAAAGTTAAAAAACAATTCAAGAATAGAGTTTAGTGTCTTCGTCTATATATAAAAGACACGTACTGAAAAGTCAACTGATTTATTACCTTAATTTTTAAATTAATATGATTTGTTTCAATTTAATTTTTCCACCACCGTCATTGGGGACCCTATGTATATACTGTACAACCTAAATGGATTTAATTACAATTTTATGCTCCTATCAAATCCTCCTCAGTTGTTTTGAATGTATGCTCTTTATTAGCTAAGTTTAATTTTAACCCAGTGGCGGTTAAAAGTATTCATGAACTCATTAATAGTGTGTGGGAAAAAATAAACTTATATTCAATTAATTTCACTATCTGTAAAAGTTATATATTGTTTAGAAATGTGCATGTTAATCTTAATTTCTTATTATGTCTTGGGTATTTAAAATTATAATAATCATATTAGTCAGAGACCTAAAGAATTGAAATGTCATGCAATCATTTATGAGTTTTAATTTATAGAGAGAGAGAGAGAGAGAGAGAGAGAGAGAAGATTTGTTCGATTCTTAACATATCAAGAGAAGTCACCAATATCAGCGAAAACTTACAAATAAGTTATGTAAAAGACTGATAAATCAAAATAGTAATCAAAATACTTTAAATAGCTATAAAGTTAAAGTATCCATTATTTTTTATAATATTAAATTAATGAATATTTTAATTTTTAACTTCTTAATATAATACATATTCAAAAGACCATTTAAATATTTAAAATTAACTGATAGTAATAATGTAGAAAAAAATAACAGTAGTTTTTCATTTTTAAGTACATCCAAATTTTTACATTTTATTCTCTATTTTCTGTTTCTTTTATAGCACGTTACTCTTTATATTTATCATTTTCTCTCTCTTTCTCCAAAGGATGCATACAAAAATGTGTCATAAGATTATTGTTCAACGGAAGAACGGCCAGTGTCCGCATGCCTATGTTTTTGCTTTTTCTATTGGAACCAGAAGTTCAGAATCCTTTTTCAGTTACTATGTGACTACTTTTGTAAAATCCTTAAACAAGAGATACCGTTTTGCGTCACCTCTTCCAACAGTTACATATACATTGGACTAAAAATAGTCATTGATTAGGTTGTGGCCTCTGGTTATCCACTGGATCGAAGTAAATAGCCACTCACTAGGTTACAAACCTAGAGAGCGTGTCACTCCCTTCCAGAATGACACAAAGCTCTAGGGTAATATTCATTTTTCGGGTAGATTTAGAAAAATTACAAGGTATAAATGAATGACTTGATATTTATAGCATATCTACACATATATAGCTATAAATAATTTTAAATAAAACACACACGGGGGCACAGACATGTATAACATTTATGTCTTTGTGAGTGAGTGATATATATATATATATATATATATTCTACGAATACATTAAGAGTAGAGACTCTTAAAAGAGTATCAAATAAATTTTCCACTGTGATGACTTGTGAGAGATAAACGTACATGATGAAAGAAAAGTGTAGGATAGTGAAATATATGTGACAAGACCAAAAATAGAGTTTTAAAAACAAAATTGACTTGGAAACCAATTGTGTAAAGGTCAAAACTCAAGCAAGTTGAGCCACTGAATGCAAGTTACTATTGGATTGGTTGAAACTTAGTAGCTACCGCTATTTCAGTTAGGAGGTAAGGTGAAAAATACACTAACACACACACACGCAGAAAAAAAAAAGAAAAAAAAAAGAACATGATCAAGAGCACTGATCAGAAAGAACAAGAGAGAGCAAACAAAGAACAAAGACATACAACATACACGGTTAAATTATTAACAGCATGAAATTAATTAAAAATTAGGATGCTAATAAAAAAATTCCTTAACCATTTGAGTTATAGATACATGACAAAAAGAAAAGAGAGTGGATCCAAAACATCGAAAAGCATATATAAAATATAGATATACACGGGTGAAACAAGTACGAACCTGCGTTCAGAGGAGTACTCAAAAAGTTTGCCTTTGGTGGAGAACATAATCAAGGCGACCTGAGCATCACAGAGCACAGAGATTTCATTAGCTTTCTTAAGGAGTCCCGTTCTGCGCTTCGAAAAGGTGACTTGTTGACTTGTTTTGTTCTCGATCGGCTTCAACTGAACCCTACCCCTTCCCATCTTGGTGTGAAATTCTGTAGCCACTAATACTGAGAAAGCATATGCAATAAAAATGAGGCCAAAAAGAGAAACAAAAGGGGAACGAAGATGTGCATATAAAGAAAGATGTATAAAGAAGGAAACCCTAGCTAGGGAGTAAGTAGAGAGAGTGGGTGTTGAGTATTCACCTTAAGGAAGATTGAGAGAGAAAAAAAGAACATGAAAGCAAAAGAAATGGAGGGGTGTCTAATAATAGCATAGCATGGGGATATTATTTCTATTTTTGTGCTTGAAAAATAAATGTGAAAGAAAAAAGGACAAATGGGGAATAAAAGTTTGGAAATGGGGTACGAAGGTGCTGTCGAGTTGTGATTGGATGATGGGGTTATGGTACGATGCGTTGTCGACTTGGAATTGAAGCAGAGTGTGAGATGGTTGATGTGTCGTATTGACATGGCATGCTGTTGGGAGACATGTCGTACCATGATGTGGGTCCCATTTTTAAATGTGGAACGGGAAATCTGTTTGTTTTGTTGTGTTTCTCCCATTCCCTCTTCCCTTCTCATTGGTTGACGGCGCTCTCTCCCTTCTTTCCCTACCACCCACCACTGTTCTGTTCTTTTCTGTAGTCTCTCGTTTTTAGGCCCTTTTCTTTTGTTCTTCCCCATCAGAACAAATCATTATATTATACAAAATTACCACTCCAAATTTCTTGCTTTAATCCCTTTTTTGTTGTGCTTATATTAAATGCCATGTGTGTTCTTCATAATGATATATAATTTTATTTGATTAATTACTTCGAATCACTTTTATTTATTAAATTAGAATATACTCTTTTAAGAGTGGCTTAATCCTCAAGTATGTGTTCTTTTAAAGAATGACCCGCGTTCTTTTTTTTTTTAAATTTAAGTTTAAATATTTTTTATCTCTAAAAATAAAATATTTTTTACCATTAGTTTTGTTGCATTAGGTTATGTCACGTGTTAATGATATGTTAGCCACACCATCTCTCAAAGGAATCAAATTAATATCAGTAACCAAAAATATGTTTTTTTACAAAATTAAGTTTCAAATAATTTGTTTCATAAAAATTTAAAATTAATCATTCTTGAAAAATGAAAAACATATTTAAACATATAATCACAACCAAACAAAAAATTTATTAATAGACAGAAAATGTTGAGGATGAGATGGCTCGACTTGTATATAGCCTTTATTTAATAGAAATTAGATTATTAAATAAACATATTTATTGTATTAATGTATTATACTAAAATGTTTTATGTGTAAGAAACATAATTATATTCATTTATTTTTTTTACCAGTATAATACATTTGATTAATATTTTGATAATCTATATTAATTTTCTATATCGAAAGACTTGTTCATTAGTATGACGTATCATAGTTAATGTTAGTATACATTTACAATGTCTATACTTTAAATTTAAATTAGTCGAAATTCGTATAAACGAAGATTAATGCCAAATTATTAGTATATAATATTTTTAAATAAATTTAAATTCACTTGAATTAATTAAACACATAGTTATGATAGTTTTAAATATTTTATAAAATAATTTTATTTAATATATAATTTGAAACTTAACTTAATCTAAACAATATCTATACAGCCTACGAATAGTTAATATAGAGATAATACTAAAACTGGTTTTATTCATGGCAAAGCCTATGAGTGGAAAGATTTCCTCTTCCACTGCAACATTGTACCTGCTTCCCTATCTGCTTCAATTGGAAACATAAGAAACATAAATGGTCTCTGCATTATTTGCTACCACGTGAATCCCCCAACGACTGTAATGGAAGAAGTAACTCCACTGCCATTAACATGGGTCTTTTCATTTATCACTTGTTGTTGTTATGCTCTCTGTAATAAACCATTTATTGTCAACTTATGGATCGGACCTACTTTAGTGTGTGTTTAACATGTTAGATTTTTTAACATTAATATTAATATTTATTTTAATTTATGGATTAGCATTATTAAATTATTATGGTTATATTGTTATTAATTATGACATAAAATAAATGTGTATATTAATTATTATTATTATTATATAAATTTTATAATTGGGCTTTTAAGGTGAATAGTCTGTGATGGGTTGCACTATTCTATGTGTCCAGTGAGAGGTTTCTGCTCTCATCTGATTAAACTTATATAATTGTTGCCCCATTAGACAGTTACCAATGTGAGATAATAGCAATCAGATAGGAGAGTAGTACACGCTCACTCAAAACAAAGATTGCTCATGACTCATGAGTTCTCATAAAGATTACTTATGACTCATGAGTTCTCATCAGGATTGCTTATGACTCGTGGGTTCTTATCAGATACGCGTTTAACGCAATTATTCAATTATATATAGTTGGAATTGTATTGAGTTATTATGATGTGTATTATATATAATTGTATTATCTTTAATTTTATATATAAAATTCCTGCAAATTGGTATCAGAGCCAACTTAATACACATCGTAATTTTTCAACTTTGAGCAACCAAAATGCTATAATTTTATGTATGGATTTGGAAAATAATTTAGGTTTTTTTGTTCTTCTTATATTCATAAATATCATTTCAAAAAATTGTTAATTTTCATCGGGTATGTTAAGAGAATTTCCCAGTTTATTAATTTTTTGAAACTATGAACCCTAAAATCGTTTTCTTTCAAATTCTCTCATCAGGGAAAAGGTTTATTTAAAAATTGATTAAGGGCTTTTGTTAATAAATTGAACACAAACATAATCTAATAATTAATTCATTATTTCGTTCAATTTTAGATTGAGAATTTATTCTTTCTTTCATTTTGCGTTCGTCATTACCCTATTTTTGTTGTACACATCACAAAGTGGACCCTACTCATTGAAAGAAACTGTTTGGATTGCTTGAATTCTCAATTACTTTGAATCCTCCATGGCTGCGCGTGTTTTAGCCTTTGAAACTCTCTTTTGTTGTTCAAAATACACCATTTGTAACAATATGAATTTGTTGGACCTATTTTGCAGCTGATGAGTTTTTTTTAAGTGTATGAAGCCCCCTCGCGTGGCTGAGAGAGCGTCGAGTGGAAGATTATTTTGATATTAAATTTTTTGGACAATTTTCATAATTTTTTGGGCACTGTAAATATTTTTTAATTAATTAACTCGTGCCTAAATTAATTAAATAATTATTATATTGATGGAATATGATCCAATTTTTTTTTATATACATGATTAAACTAATATTTGATATTTATGACATTTTTTATACTATTCACTCTCTTTTTGAATGTCATATATGTTAAAAAAAAATAATTTAGTTTTATATAAATTATTTGATGTAATTTTGGTATAATTATGATTTCATGCATAATATACATATTTAAATTAATTTTGAATGCATGATTATTCTGTGTAAATGTCATTCCACCTATCGTGAGACCATTTATAGATGACTTGTGTAAATTATATAATTATATATTACATTAATAATTATATCCTATCGATGTGTTGTTATTAATGTGATTTAAAAATACTATGCAATTGTGTTTTGCTTATGTCAATTTTGTACTTATACCTTATCAGATTCTTGTGATTTGTGCATTGTATTCGTCTTTCTTATTTATTGTGATCCGGACCCTTAGGTGGGATTATAGTAAGTAAGAAATTTTGTGATGGGCATATTATTGTTGCACTTGAGCTAATTGCATATATTAAACTTTGTTGTTTCCCATATCAGTGTCTATGCCCACTTCGGTGAAAACTTTGAACAAGATCAATTATGAGGACTGAGTTGACTCTGTTAAATTGTTTCTTGCCATTTTCTAATGTGAATGTTGCCCTTATTGAGAATAAGTCTAAAGTTTCTACACCTGAATCTTCCGCTGCAGTTATAGTAAAACATGTTAAATGGACTCATTCTAATAAAATATGTCTAGTAATTATGAAGTTCATTATAAATAATGTTCTTGAGATGAGTAGTACTAAGAAGTAAGTTTAGTCACAATATTCATTGCCAATAAATTAGTGACAAATTCTTTAGCAAAAATTCGTCACAAAATTATAAAATCTTAATAGTGCCTCTAAGCAAGAAACTTAAGGAATTTGATAATACGGAGAAAGTTTACTATCTTTTATTATTCATAAAAATCAATTAGCACTAGAGTAGGATATTGTGTAGACTCCAGGGGTTCTAGATTTTATTGTCCAACTTATACCACTAGAGTTGTTGAGTCACATGATATAAGTATCTTATAATGTATGATATCACTACTCCTTCGAGTATGATTTTCTGCATTGTTAAAATGTTTATAGTTCGTGTTAGTTTATTTTGTCATCTTGTTATGACTATATATTATTGATTAATTTAGAATAATAAAATGTTTTGATTTATGTTGTCCAAGTGGGAGATAAATTGTTGAATATTTTGTGTGGATTAACATAAATCAAATTTTGTTATAACTTGAATTTAATTATAGAATAATAAAATCCATTTATGATTTGAAGTAAGTTTCTAGACGGTGATACTTGAAGTTTGACCAAGTGGTTACTTCTATTGGCTTCAAGAAAAATGCTTGAGATCTGTGCATTTACTTGAAGATGAGTGGAAGCAATTTTATCATCTTTGTTGTCCATGTTGATGATATCTTTGAATGAGACAAAGAATATATTGAGTAGCCATTTTGATATGAAAGACCTTGATGATGCTTTTGTTATTCTAGGCATCCAGATATGTTGTGATAGGTCTCTTGTTACTCTTAGATTGTCTCAGAAAGAGTACATTGATAGGATCCTCAAGAGGTTTAGTATGTATTCTTGCTCTCCATGTGTTGCGCCTCTTTAAAGGGGTAAGAAACTCTCTAATTTTTAGTGTCTTCATGATGATGATAGAGAGTTGTTTGAAATGGAGAAAGTTTCATATGCTTCTGCTGTTGGGAGTTTGATGTATGTTTAAGTTTGTACTCGTCCCGATATTGCTTATGTTGTTAATGCTTTGGATAGATACTTGAGCAACCCATGTTTG